GCATAAATTTCGAAGAGGCCCTGGGTTCGATTCCCAGTTCGCCCCAATTTTTTTGTTACATCAGTAATAAATTCAAGACCATTCCGTATCTTCCTGTGACACTATCGAGCAGAGCGATACCGGTCATCCATCCCTCCATTCTTTCTTTTTACTTCCTCTGGTGACTGCAAACAACCTTCCCTTGTGGTGGAATCTTTGCCAGAATTTACGAGGTGAAGAAAAAAAAAAAGAAAAGAATAAAAAAGATTTCACTTTGAAAAAAAAAACAAACCCTTTGTTTGACGTGTTATTTTTAAGATTCACCAGCTTTTCAGTCAAATTCCTTAAGGACTCATTGAGATGTTGTCACGCCTAATATGCTATTTATTCATTTTATCTACACTAGTCTCTGCAAATTTGTTTGACTTTATACACCAATTTGGTGGTGCAGGCGATAATGGTAATGCGAGACATCAAGGCGTGAAAAATCCCCAAGAATACGAAAGCACGGTTTTAAGCTCACAATGTGGCAAATACTTATGTCCAGATACTGGAATTTGTGTTGACGCTCCAAAATTCTGTCCTTGTCCATTCCCATCATCACAATTGAGATGCTATTTACCAAATGGTCGTTATGTTTGTATTTCAAAGCCAACAGGCGAAGGAATTAGTCAACGATATGCTGATCCAAAGACTAATTACAAAATAGATGCTAAGGACGATAATATACGAGACTGTGGGTGGGTTAACAGAGCTTGGAGAGCATAACTGTTAACAGCCTATAGCTACTGTTAACAGCCTATAGCTACTGTTAACAACCTATAGCTACTGTTAACAGCCTATAGCTACTGTTAACAACCTATAGCTACTGTTAACTACCTATATAGCTACTGTTAACTACCTATATAGCTACTGTTAACTGCCTATATAGCTACTGTTAATTGCCTATAGCTACTGTTAACTGTGCTTTAGTTCAACCTTACTTAGGCTAACAAGGTACAAAGTGTCGGATAGTATTGGTGACAGCTACAAAGTGTTGCTCCACTATCTCGCTCCGCTCGATAGTGGAATAGTGGGATAGTATTGGTGACAGCTGCAAAGTGTCGCTCCACTATCTCGCTCCGCTCGATAGTGGGATAGTGGGATAGTGTCGGTGACAGCTGCAAAGTGTTGCTCCACTATCTCGCTCCGCTCGATAGTGGGATAGTGGGATAGTGTCGGTTGATCTCCCTGATACAAAGATAGCCTTTACGCTTATCCATTGCTTATCGCAGAGAGCCTGACTCATAATTTTTCAATGGATTACATAATCAACTAAAAAAGATTTTTTTTTTTTTTTTTCACAGCTGCAGTGTAATCAAATATAGTTTGGAACCAATTGGTCCAAATACCATCAAATACCATCAACTCTTTCTCTTTAGTTTTGTAGACAGGAAGGGAACTCAGTATGTTGAGAACTCGAATTGTGGATGGGTTGTCTCGTAGATATATTCGCAGGTGCCTTGCGACCCAGGCGTTTCATTATCAGGTACCCGAGGAATATCAATCGAGAACTCCCCCATATTCTAAATTGATTGATAAATTATCAAAGGTGCAAAAAATCATCAACAACCAGCCGTTGACCCTTGCTGAAAAGATCTTATATTCGCATCTATGTGATCCAGAAGAGAGTCTAGTGTCATCGAATCTTGCCGATATCAGAGGTCAGCAGTACTTGAAATTGAATCCTGATAGAGTTGCAATGCAGGATGCTTCAGCTCAGATGGCCTTGCTCCAGTTCATGACTTGTGGTATGGCCTCAACTGCCGTACCGGCGTCTATACATTGTGACCATTTGATTGTTGGGAAAGATGGCGCAGATACAGATTTGACCAAATCAATAGCAACGAATAAAGAAGTTTTCGATTTTTTGCAAAGCTGTGGTGACAAGTACGGTATACAATTTTGGGGTCCTGGATCGGGAATCATTCATCAAATCGTATTGGAAAACTTTTCTGCTCCCGGGTTGATGATGTTGGGAACTGATTCTCATACTCCAAATGCAGGTGGGTTGGGTGCTATTGCTATTGGTGTCGGTGGTGCTGATGCAGTGGACGCCTTAACAGGAACGCCATGGGAATTGAAGGCACCAAAGATTATGGGTGTCAAGTTGACTGGGAAATTATCTGGCTGGGCTGCGCCCAAGGATGTTATTACTACGTTGGCTGGCGTATTGACCGTGAGAGGAGGCACTGGCTATATAGTAGAGTATTTTGGAGAGGGTGTATCAAACTTATCGTGTACCGGAATGGCCACCATTACAAATATGGGCGCAGAGATTGGTGCAACTACTTCAATTTTCCCATATCAAGAGGCTCACAAAAGATATTTGAACCAAACAAATAGAGGACCAATTGCTTTAGCGGCTGATGCAGTGAACAAAGACTTTAAGTTCTTGCAGGCTGATGAAGGTGCCGAGTATGACAGAGTTGTTGAAATAAACTTATCCGAGTTGGAACCACACGTTAATGGACCATTTACCCCAGATTTGTCTACTCCAATATCTAAATTTGGTAAAACTGCACAAAAGGAAGGATGGCCAGAAACCGTGTCCGCTGGATTAATCGGATCATGTACCAACTCGTCGTATCAAGATATGTCGAGAGCTGTCTCGCTCATCAAACAAGCTGAGGCTGCAGGACTAAAGCCAAAGATTCCATTTTTTGTTACACCAGGCTCGGAACAAATCAGAGCTACCATAGAAAGAGATGGACTCATTGGTACATTTGAAAAAAATGGGGCTATTGTATTGGCAAATGCCTGTGGTCCATGTATTGGACAATGGGATAGAACAGATGTAGCGAAAACTTCAACTGAGTACAACGCCATCTTTACAAGCTTTAATAGAAATTTCAGAGCAAGAAACGATGGAAATAGAAACACAATGAATTTTTTAACTTCACCAGATATGGTCACAGCCATGATTTATTCAGGTGACATTTCCTTTAATCCGGTTACCGATTCAATAAAGTTGCCAAATGGGGAAAGCTTCAAGTTTGAGCCTCCTGTTGGTGAAGATTTGCCTAATAGCGGTTTTGTCAAGGGACGTGAGGAATTTTACCCTGACCCAAACCCACAGCCCAAGCCCGAAGTAGCTGTGAATGTTAGTCCAACGTCGGATAGATTACAATTATTGGATCCTTTCCAACCTTGGTCGGGAGAAGAATTATCTACGAATGTGTTGTTGAAAGTTGAGGGAAAATGTACCACTGATCATATTTCTGCTGCTGGTGCTTGGTTGAAATACAAGGGTCATTTAGAGAACATTTCATATAATACATTAATTGGGGCAGTGAACAAAGAAACCGGTGAAGTTAACAAGGCATACGATTTTAATGGAGATGCATATGGTATTCCTGAGTTGATGATGAAGTGGAAAGATGAACATAGACCATGGATTGTAGTAGCCGAGCATAATTATGGTGAAGGTTCAGCAAGAGAACATGCGGCATTATCTCCAAGATTCCTCGGAGGAGCTATGATACTTGTCAAATCATTTGCTAGAATCCATGAAACAAATTTGAAAAAACAAGGAATGTTGCCTTTAACTTTTGCAAACGAGGAGGATTACGATAGGATTCTGAGTACCGATTTGATAACCACACTCGATTTGAAGGATATGATTTCAAAAGATGGTAATAATGGAGGTAACTTGAGGTTAAAAGTCACCAAAAAAAATGGCGAGGAATTTGAAATTTTGGCTAAACACACAATGTCTAAAGACCAAGTTGACTTTTTTAAGGCTGGATCTGCCATCAATCACATTGGTAATTTGAAGAAAGCAAACCAAGAGAAAAGAGGATAGTAGGGTATTTTGTAAATATAACATGTCTTTGAAAATTTCTCAAATGTTTTATAAAAGAGGATTTTGCCTTTTTCTTTTTTTTTTTTTATTTATCTAATTTTTGATCTTTCCAATCTTTCGAAATGAATAAAATGGGTCTAATGAAAGAAGGGAGTGGTGATGGGGGTGGTGGTGAAAAGAAAGAAAGAGTTTATTCTTATTTTATATTATCTTATCTTATCTTTTCTTTTCTTTTCTTTTTTTTTTCTTATGCATCTACCATGTACCTTTACTTATTGCCATCATCATCGTTGTCATGGCTTACATCTTCATTATCATTATCACCGTCATCATCATCATATTGATCTCTATCTCTACCGTAAAATTCATCCAAAATTTTAGGACTAATTCTATTCAACAATTCTCTTGGATAAATTCTCAATAATGACCAAGCCAAATCCAATGATTCAAAGATTGACCTATTTTCATATGCACCTTGACTGATGAAGTTCTTTTCAAACTTGTCTAAAAACTCTAATGACAACTTATCCTCGGTTGAAAGGGCTTCTTCACCAACAACAGCCTTCATGGCAGCAGCATCTTTACCAATTGCATACTTGGCATATAGTTGATTCGAAACATCACCGTGATCTTTCCTAGTCATACCTTCACCAATAGCAGACTTCATCAAACGTGACAAGGAAGGCAAGACATTGATTGGCGGGTAAATGGCTCTATTGTGTAGTTGCCTATCAACAAAGATTTGTCCTTCTGTAATATAACCAGTCAAATCTGGAATTGGATGTGTAATATCATCATTAGGCATGGTTAAGATAGGAACCTGGGTAATGGATCCATTTCTACCTTCAACTCTTCCTGCTCTTTCATAAATTGTTGATAAATCAGTATACATATAACCTGGGTAACCTCTTCTACCAGGAACTTCTTCTCTTGCTGCAGAAACCTCTCTCAATGCATCTGCATACGACGACATATCTGTCAAAATAGTCAATACGTGTCTTTCGGTTTGATAAGCCAAATACTCAGCTGTAGTTAATGCCAATCTTGGAGTAATGATTCTTTCGATAGTAGGATCATTAGCTAAATTCAAGAACAATGAAGTACGCTCCAAAGATCCGTTTTCTTCGAAATCCTGTTTAAAGAAACGGGACGTTTCTAGATTGACACCCATTGCAGCAAACACAATGGAGAAATTTTCCTCGTGACCATCGTGAACATCCTTGGTAGGTCTAACCAAGCCGGCCTGTCTACAAATCTGAGCTGCAATTTCATTATGAGGTAAACCTGAGGCCGAGAAAATGGGAATTTTCTGTCCACGAGCAATTGAGTTCATAGTATCTATTGCTGAAATACCAGTACTTATCATTTCTTCCGGGTAAATACGCGCATAAGGGTTAATAGGTGAACCATTTATATCCAAATACTCCTCAGCAAATATCTTGGGCCCCTTGTCTATGGGCCTACCCGACCCATCAAAAACCCTACCCAACATATCTTCACTAACGGGCATTTTCAAATTTTCGCCAGTAAACTCAACTTTTGTCTTTTTAACATCTATTCCAGAAGTACCTTCAAACACTTGAACAATTGCCTTGGAACCACGAACTTCCAAAACTTGCCCTTGCCTGATCGTGCCATCGGGTAATGTCAAGTTAACAATCTCACTGAAACGAGGGAACTTGACATTATCAAGTATAACTAACGGTCCATTCACCCCTCCCACTGTATTATATTGTATTCTTGGCTTTATCTTGAAACCCTCAGTTACGGCCTTCTTGTTCAACTCGTATAACTCTTTATCTGAAAGCGACATCGTTGGCGTTTCGAATGTTTGAAAAGGGGGGGGGGCTGTTCAAATTACAACTTCCTTTGACATTTTCAATTTCAATGCTTCCGTTGCTCAAAGCAGAAAAAATAATTTAAAAAAAGGTCACGTGATCTCAATATACCAGAAGTAAATTAAATATACAACTTTCTAGATATACCATACATATATATATATATATATATATATATGAAAATATGAAAGGAGAATGAAGAAGGGGGGATTGGGAGCTTATAGCATTTCGCTGATGATATCCCAGTCATCTCGCTGGTCCAGTTTGGGTTGGTTAAGAAATAAGTTTTTGAAATTAAGATTCTGTAGAGCCACGGGTTTATTATGTTGTTTTTTAGCAAATAAGGAGTTAATGATTTGATTGTATACGTGTTCCAATCTCTTTTGAAAGTTTTGATAAGGATGCCGCTTTTCAACAACTGATCCTAGGGGATACTGAGTGTCCAAATGTGCGATTTCGTTCAAGATTTTCTCAAAATCAGCACTTTCGTCAATACTAAACTCTCTGCCTTGCATTGAGAAATGTCCTAAAAATACTTCGAAATTAGCGGAAACTTTGACAATAATTACTAAAAACTCCAAGAAATCCTTTATACTCAACTTGTTGAACGGCTTGTTGATTATTCTATGAGGAATAGTGATTTTCTTCAGTGTGGCAGACCCGGGCTGAGATAAAGCGGACGGGGTAGAGCTATTTTCTCGAACAATCGTTGGTATTTGGTTTAGTTCACCAGGCTCAACAGAAGAGGACCTCGCTACTCGTCGCTGGTAATTTAGTGTCTTTGACGATAGCGGAAGCTGATAGGCATCACCTAGCCTAACAATCTTTTCCGTTGCATAGTCTATTTCTTTTGGAGTGGTGGAATATTCCAGCTGGTATCTTTCTTCATCAATTATCGAGTCCTTCTGCCCCGTGATCAACATTTCTTTCTTCTTGAGTAAGTCGTAAAACCTTTTGCTTGGTAAACATTTGCACAAGGTATCCAAATGCGGTAGCTGGATTTTAAACAAAAAGGATAGCTGCCTTTGTAAGTCAATCAATCGCTCGACAAATTGGTTTATGACTGTGAGATTGTAACCAAGAAATTCTTCAATTTTCAAAATAGGCTGATAGTGAAATAATAATGTTCTTTTCTTTTCGCTTTTTTGAAATGACATATCTAGCAATATTTGGAAATTGTGATTCTGTATTTTTAGTGCTTGCATTTCCACTTGTTTTATCCTTGTCATTTCAAATTCTTCAATTTGTTTGATGACTTTGGAGATTTGTTCCTCATAGCATTTGATCAAATGGGATTCCTTTTGAAGTAGTTTTAACCGCAAGAGATCTATTTCCTTTTCCTTACTAATCTGCACCTGACTTAGTTGATTGACTACCTTTTGTACTTGTTCCTTTCCTCGATTTATTGATTCGATTCGCGCCTTGGTATCCAGCAAGCATACTCTGCTCAATTGTAGCGCTAAAGAGGTAATGGACGCAATTGATGGTACGGGAACATCATCACGATCCATCAGCTCGTATATCTCGTGAACTCGCTGCTTAACATCACTACTATCATTTTGAAGCAAAAAGGCAATCTCAAGTACTTTATTTATCTGGTTTTCATGCTTAGTTAAGACTTGATCCTTCTTGCGCGCCTCTACTTGAAGATCGCGAAGGTGCGTGACAATATTATTCACATCCGCTGCACTACTCGTATGAAAATCCTCATCATGATCCTGACTTTGCATACCACCATGTGGTTCATTTGATATCAGGAGCAAGAGGAGGGGGGGGGGGGGGGGGGGGAAAGGTGGTGCTCTTACCAAAGTTATCAAAAACTCGCTATATCAGCGCTTAAATCATAGCACAAAACCACTTTTATTCAAAGGTTTGTAAACATGCACACGACCATTCAAACGGTAGCGGTAATGGTAGCACTACACGTGACACCTTAGTTAGAAGGTTTTAAGAGCCCCCCCCCCCCCCGCACCCCCGCTAAGGCGGCTTTGGCTAAGGTTGGTAATGGCAAGAGGGGTGTTTTCTGTTTTCAATATTTCACGTTACAGGCGCCATGGCAACGCCCAATTCTGAGTCTCCTTGGCCGTAATATAAGAACCATTGATTTTTGAATTGTACGATTCCTTCACAAAACACAACGTGGTTTACTTGACCTTTGAGTTCGTTAGCTAGCTCTGGCTTTAGAATCGGTCTCTCTAGTCTAGCCAACGGTCCCAGTTTTAAGTCATCATAGTCAATAAGCATTTCGTTCACTGTGTATGTATCCTTTGGCAAATCTTTGCCGCCTGTTGTAGCTGCATTGTAAAAGAAAATCCATTTATTCTCAGCGCCGGCCATTTTTATTGGCGCAGGTCCACTTTCAATCAACTTGTTTTCTCGATGGAAAATTTGTTTTGCCCAAGTATTTGTATTTATGGAGTCACTGGTTACCTTCCAGTGCTTTAGATCCTGGGATTCTGCAAGATGTAATTGCGAGTCACCCCATATCATGTAGTACTTTCCATCCTTGTTTTTCTCGTTGAATATAGCACCAGATTTGGACCAATTGCTGCGAATAATTCTGTCTCCGTTGCTGGTGATGGCAATATCATTCCATATCAGCGGTACAATGGGTCCATATTTCCGCCAATGGAAAAGATCTTCACTAGTACCAACACATAAACGAGCAGTCTTCAAATCGTAAGCAGTATACGTCACAATGAACAATTTCAGTATGGGATCACGCACAATTCTAGGATCTTCAACTCCCCCACCTTGCTCGTAAATCTCCGTTGCCGTTAATATGGGGTTTTTATGTTTACAAAAACTAACCCCATCAATCGACCAAGCTATGCCTATTGAAGATACCTTGGCACGATTCTGGGCGCGATAAAGCATAAAAACGTAGGTATCGACTACTATTGCCGTGGCATTGTACAAATAGGCAGACTCCCATTCGATATTAGGGTCAGGCTTCATTATTGGATTGTGTTTGTATTTCTCAAAGGGACCAATGGGAAACTGTATTGGTGGTTTATAGTGCTCGTCTCCATCGGGAGTGTCTCTGTTTACCAAGGGAATTATCATTATCGAGAAGGTATCGAATCGAAAGGTCTTTAACTGGGGAGGGGGAGGGGAGAGGACCATATATAACCATATAGGGGTAATGTTTTACTTACTATCGCTATCTTATACTAGGAGGAAACCTGCTTTCTACGGAGAGTCACGTGACGAAAACCAAGGTGCAAGTATCAACAGCCGGGGACGCCAAGTTTTCTTTCAGAACCTGAAAAGAGTCTACAAACCCTCAAGTCTATAGACTTGCTCTGCTCGATAGTGGTGCAACACTTAGTAGCTTGTCCAACACTATCGAGCTAGTCCATGTGTAGACCCCATACCCAATTAAAAATCACCTGGTTAATAACAAACGTTAGGCGGTATTTCATTTTCGTATTTTTTACCCCTAAAAAATGTCGTTAACAAAAGAGGAAAGAGGGACTAGACGAGTGAAACGAGTCTAGTCCATTGAAAGAAAAGAGAGAGAGAGAGAGAATAGACGAGTGAAACGAGTCTAGTCCATAGAAAGAAGAGAGAGAAAGAGACTAGACGAGTGAAACGAGTCTAGTCCATAGAAAGAAGAGAGAGAGAGACTAGAGAGAGAAACTAGACTCGTTTCACTCCTTTAGTAGAAAGAGCAGTCGATAAGAGACTAGACTCGTTTCACTCGTCTAGTCCAGAGAGCAGTCGATAAGAGACTAGACTCGTTTCACTCGTCTAGTCCAGAGAGCAGTCGATAAGAGACTAGACTCGTTTCACTCGTCTAGTCCAGAGAGCAGTCGATAAGAGACTAGACTCGTTTCACTCGTCTAGTCCAGAGAGCAGTCGATAAGAGACTAGACTCGTTTCACTCGTCTAGTCGAGAGAGCAGTCGATTCATTTCATGTCGTAGCGACATTCCATGATTTTTTTTTCTTCTTTTTTTTGATGAGAGTACCAAATTTATCATGGCCAATAATTATAGTTTAAAATAGTATCGTGGACAAAGTCTTTGGATAGGTGCTAACTAGAGGAGGAAGAGGTATCGAATAGTGAAACTTTTGAAGGATACTTCTATCTCTTTTCTTTTTTTTTTTTGTCATTTTTGATTTACTCATAATAGACATATACTGCTTGCTTGAAAAAAATGGGCCAATTGCTATCTCATCCCATTGAAGAAAAGGAGCTAGATTATAAGGTATACTCCCAATTATCCTATTGTATAGGCTCAATGCAAGGGTATAGGATGTCAATGGAAGATGCACATGATACGAAGATTAATGAAGATGAGTCTATTGCGGTATTTGGAGTGTTTGACGGGCACGGAGGAAAACAGTGCTCTCAATACTTGGCCGAGCATTTAATCAAGTATATTTTTAAACAATTGGTACACGAGCGAGATAGGATGTTGCATAATCAAAAGTGTTTTGATAATCAACAAGTTATGCGATTATTGAAACACGCATATTTCAAGATAGACCACGATTTGTCCAATTACAGCAATTTCATCAATTGTGGTTCGACTGGGATAACGCTTGTGATCATCAACAACAAATTATATGTGGCAAACACGGGGGATTCGCGATGTATCATCTCAATAGAAGGGGGGTTGGCAAAGACACTATCACATGACCAAAAGCCAAACATTATTGGAGAAAGGGTAAGGGTGGAAAATAGCAACGGATATATTGTCAATAATAGGGTCAATGAAATACTAGCTTTGAGTAGAGCTTTTGGAGATTTCAAGTTCAAGGTGCCTTACTTGACGGAGACTAACAATCGGTACTTCATCCAAAACATAGAGCAGCTAGTGAATGAGTCTAATCAGACCAAGAATGATACGGCAGAAAAGGTCACGGCAGGCGATCACGAGTATATACAAATCCCACCAGAGTCATTTCAAGTCACTGTGGAGCCAGATATACTCATTTATGACATGAACGAACTCAACCAGCCGGAATTTATAATTATGGCATGTGACGGAATATGGGATTGTTTTAAAAACGGTCAATTGGTCAAGATCATTAGAGATAAATTGGTATTGGGATGGAAATTGAACAAGATAGTAGAGTGCATCCTCAACGATACCTTGGCCATGGCCAACAATTATACGGGGACCGGGTTTGACAATATGACGCTTGTTATCATTGCTTTACATGGAGGCGGACTGCAAGTGGATAACATGGATGAGTGGTATCAGAGGATGATTGATAAAATCGAAAAAGAGAAAAGGTTGCGCTAGGCGACACTAGGGAGCGAAGCGAGCTAGTGGAGCAGTATGTAGTTACAACACTAGGGAGCAGTACGCAGTATCAACACTAGGGAGCAGTACATATGGGTTTGTTGACTTGGCTAAAGTGGAAGAAGCTGCTCGGTTAAGGGGAAGGGGACAATAAATGTTATAGAGTATAACGATAGAGACTTGAGGATATATAATTAATTTACGACTTTGTATGACTGTGTTAATCCCAGTATCAATTGCCCTGCCCTTTGGCTCACCTCTCTCTATTAGCGAGCGAAGCGAGCTAGTGTCTCTCTATTAGCGAGCGAAGCGAGCAAGTGTCTCTCTATTAGCGAGCGAAGCGAGCTAGTGTCTCTCCTCTCTCCTCTACTTCTCCACTAGCTCGCTACGCTCACTAGTGACGAGACACGTGACCAAATCGACTGATTTTACGCTGACGTGATTAATTTTTCTTGATCCAAAATAAACTTGAGGTATCAAGTCACATTAATTCATTAATTAAGTTAAAGCCTTATTATTGGCCAATTAAAGGTAATTGCACTATATCAAAAACCTTTATTGTGTTTTTCGGTTTTGGGATTTTATCAAGTTTGAGGTAATCCTCTACGATTGTTTTTAAGGGAAGCTGTACTTAAAGGAAGCCGGAGTCAAGGCAAGCTGTACTCAAAGGAAGTCGGAGTCAAGAGAAGCTGTACTCAAAGGAAGTCGAACTCAAGGAAGCTGTACTCAAGGAAGCTGAACTCAAGGAAGCTGAACTCAAGGAAGCTGAACTCAAGGAAGCTGTACTCAAGGAAGCTGTACTCAAAAATTTGGTTTCACATACCGTTTTAGATCTCATTGGGAGCTGTTGAATTGGCCATATAAATATTCCCCAGACAGCTTTTACAAGGTGTCATCTAGCAGGATTTCTGTTGCATTATAGTGCATTTAAAGTATATTATATTAAATGACAGACATTGAACAGTACAAGGATCCAATATTATCGTTGGTGACAGATCCAAATTTGAACAAGGACCAGCTAAAGTCCAACCAGCTAAGAAAACTAATACGCGAAATCAGTGTCCGTAAAATCAATAAACTATGTTCCTCCAGTTTTATTGTTCTTCAAACTTTAGAAAAGATCCAGCTAAAATTCAAGAGCTGGGAGTTCCTCTCGCTTGAGTATAATTCAGAAGAGCATTTTGCTCACAAGGACGATAAGATAAGAATATTCAATACCGGTGTTGCCGATAAAGTTATTAATGCATGCACGGAACTTAATATCAAGATGGTTAAAATCTCCCTGGATATAGATTTATTAAGTAAGCTGTCCAAGACTTTGAATCTTTCGGAGTTAATGAGTGACGATGGCGCCATGTTGACAAGTTTGCTACTTCGTATTATCAAATCTAAAAACGAGGTGATTGAGCAATTGTCGATTTTCTACTCGAAAGCGAAATTAATTTTGATTGGACGAGATTTGGAGATATTAAATGAAGGAGAGGGAGACGAAAACACAGTAGATTATTACAAAACGTTCATTGTTGAGCTTCTACGACAATTGAATGATGCTATAAATGAAAATGATTTTGATGCAAAATACGAGTGCTTGGCCGTGATCAATGATTTGGAAAGGATGTTTGAAAAGTACAAGATGGAAAGAATGATAGATAAGGGCATCGAAGAGTATGATAATCAACAAAAACAGAGACAGAGACAGATTCCACGTTATCACCAAGAGGACGAGGACAACCATCATCATCATGAATCAGCTTCAACGGGCATGACTGACGCACATTCAATTTTTGATGAAGAATTCCCTTCGAGTATGGGTGAGCCACACAGCCCCGAGGATACATTTTCAGAATATTCCATGTCTGCAGTTTCTACTGCTCAATTGCCTTTGGTTCACTCAATAACAAACCAAGGTAGCAACAGAGCTAAGGACTCCGTTTATGATTATGGTTCAAGTAGTATGTATAAGTCAACCATTTCAGAGGAACTACCATATTTGATGACGGCGTTCAGCTCAGCAAAGAATTTCAAAGAAGACGTTAGTCATTATAAACAGGAAGAAGAGGAAGAGGAGATTGAGGAGCAGAAGAAGGATGAGCGCGAAACTAGAATGAAGAAATCAAATAAGAATAGGCAAAATACACCACAATCAGCACAGCAGCAGATGCAGCAGCAACAGCAACAGCAACAGCAACAACAGCAACAACAACTACAACAGCAACAACAGGAACAACAACAGGGGCAGCAGGTGAAGAAGCCATTCTTTCATAAAGCGAGCGGATTGCCAAATAGTAACTTATACGCAGACGCTCGCCTTATTCAGCAACAGCAAGTACCTAGTCCAATTTTAAATAACTCACTATTAAGGACGTTGGGGATTAGACCACAAGTTATAAGTATACCCCAAAATAGCATATTCAAAAACGAGAAGGAGACAAACAAAAAGCAAGAAGAGGTGAACGAATTTGGTTTCCAAAAAAAGCGGTTGCTTTTGACAGAGGAAAACGTGCATCATTTAAATCGTGATCTTGTTGATTGAGAGAGAAAAGGGTACAATATGAAGCCAATACTAATTTGTTTGCTATACTATTAAGTAACATATTCAGCATTTTTTTTATTTTTATTTAAACAAAATTTATTATACGGACTTTTAAATGGTGACCTATCTTTATCTCTACAAACTTTTAAATGGTGACCTAGAAACTATATCTTTATCTCTACAAACTTCGTTTCTCGTAAGTTACTTATTACTGCTTTGATGTTTCTGGAAATACATTAAAGCTAGGTACAACTAATTTTTTTTTTTTTATTTTTATTTTTATTTTTTTTTGGATTATTTATTTATTTATTTTTTTTTTTTTTTAATTGCAAAACGCTATTTATCTATAGGTATTACCACTTGACATGTAAAGTTCATTGGGATTCTTTATCAGAGTGACATTTGTACAACTCCTTCACGAAAGATTCTCCCCAGTAACCAGAAGTGTACTTTGAAATATATGAAAACATTGATTTGAAATTGAACTCCCTCTTTTCTCTAGGCAAGGTCAAACTTTCCTTTATAGCATCACTCATATCTTCCGTGTTCCATGGATTAACTATTATAGCGCCCTTAAGTCCCTGAGCAGCACCAGCAAACTCAGATAAAATCAAAACACCCTTTTTATCCTCTTGACATGCAATGTATTCATAGCTCACTAAATTCATTCCGTCTCTGGTTGAACTCACTAGACAAACGTCACTAATGTCGTATAATGAAATCAATTCATCAAATGGTATTGATTTATGCATATAATGTATAGGAACAAACTCAACCGTACCAAATTGTCCATTTATACGACCAACGAGATTGTTTACCGTGGCACGTAAACTTTGATACTCTTCAACGTCACCACGTGAAGGCACAGCCACTTGAACAAGAACGACTTTACCTATCCATTCTGGATTTTGCTGAAGGAATATCTCAAATGCGTGAAGTTTTTGTGGCACACCCTTGATATAGTCCAATCGATCAACTCCAACAATAACTTTTATACCTTCGAATTTTTTCTTCAATTGAGCAATACGAGCCTGTACCAGCGGCTTTGTAAGCCCCTCTGTGAATTTGTCAACATCAATTCCAATAGGGAATGCACCAATTTGGATTTTCCTCTCATTATACTCTATTCCATTGGGCAATGTTTTTACGTGGGGAACAATTCTTGATACCGAGCTCAAAAAATGTCTTGCATAATCATAAGTATGGAACCCAATCAAGTCACAGCTCAACACACCGATCAAGATCTCCTTTCTAACGGGCAAGATTCTATAGATTTCCGACGAAGGGAAAGGTGTATGTAAGAAAAACCCAATTCTAATATTTTTCTTAGTAGTACCAAGCAACTCCCTCAACATTTCCGGGAGTAACATAAGATGATAGTCATGAACCCAAATCATATCATTATCTGCAACTTGCTCAACTAGAACCTGGGCAAATTTCCGATTTGCTTCGATATAAGCTGCCCATGCATTCTCATCGAAATTCATTTCTCCCGGATGGTAGTGAAACAATGGCCATAATATGGAGTTGCTAAACCCATTATAATGCAAATCAGCAATAACATCACTTAGAAATATCGCGGTACATTTGAATTTGGAGTTAAGATCATTATTGACCTTGGCTTGTTCATCTTGGGGAATTTCCAAACCAGGCCACCCCAACCATTGAAACTCCGTTGATTTCTTGAGCCCTTGCAAGGCAGTAACAAGTCCACCCGAAGACATTGAATACTCGTACGTGCCATCTTCTGCTCTCTTTATTGTTACAGGAAGTCTATTTGAGACTACAAATACTTTACCTTCAACCATTGATGTTATAACCTAACCTAACCTAACCTACTACTCCCAACAAAAAAAAAAAAAAATGAACAAAACCCAAAGAATTCGAACCCCCGTGTGTTGAATAAAAATAAATTAACAACAAGAAAGTGTTTTACCGTCAATTGAGGTGGTTTTCTCAAAAATTAATGATATATAGATGGATTTTTTTTTTTACAAGGGTAAAGAAATTTTTCAAGTATAATGTTGTAGCAATCAAAAGAAATTGACATATAAAAAAAATATTTCAATTCTAGAGCCCTACAGAATTGACACTATAGAGATGAAAGTCAGAGGAAGAAGAAGAATTTAGTTTACTTAAAAGTTGACTCAAACTCCCATGTCTTTTGTTGAAGTTGACTTGGCTATACCATTGATATTATCACTATTTTCGTCTCCTCTATTTTAGGAAATTGACCCTTTCTACATTTCTAGGAAACCAACTCTTTTTTAAAGAAAAGAATGATTTTACCCTTTATGCTAATCGTCCTAACATCGTGTTATTGTGTCGATGAGTTTGTAAAAATGTCCTACTTTGATTACATAGTAGGAACATTAATTGTTTATGGATAAGGCTATTGCATATTTTTCGCACCCTTGTTGTCCTTGCGAGCGAGAAACTAGCGAGCGAAGCGAGCTAGTGGGGCACTGGAGAATAGCGACAGTAGCGAGTAGTAAGTAGAGAGTAGCGACAGTAGCGAGTAGTAAGTAGAGAGTAGCGACAGTAGCGAGTAATAAGTAGAGAGTAGCGACAGTACCGAGTAATAGGTAGAGAGCAGTGAATATCGACTAGCTCATTTCGCTTGCTAGTCTATATGAGAGTAGATAGCAGTGAATATCGACTAGCTCATTTCGCTTGCTAGTCTATATGAGAGTAGAGAGGAGCAGTAGAGAAAAAAAGGCTTTGTTATGAAAGTCAACCAAATTGGTACTTTAACCGAATCTATACAAGCTGCTCGATAGTGGAGTAGAGACTAATAGTAGAGAGAAGAGTGTAGAAAGAGGAGAGAGGAGAGAATAGCGACACTAGGGAGCACACAATCGAGCAGAGCGAGATAGTGTTTCCACTCCACTCTACACTACACTAGTGTAATTATACTAGAGAACCACTAGCGTCGCTTTCACTCCGCTAGTGATCTACTAGAGCTAGTGGAGCAGTAGAGAAGAGAGAAGAGATAATAGTGAGTACTAAGTAGTGAGCAGTGGGTAGAGAGTAGAGAGTAGTGAGCAAATGGTAGTGAGTAGAGACTATGTATCTAGTACAAACTAGCAGATTACTAGCGGTTTCAGCGGAGCGAAAGCGACGCTAGTGTAGTAAAGGATTACTAGCGGAGCGAAAACGACGCTAGTGTAGTAGAGGATTACTAGCGGAGCGAAAACGACGCTAGTGTAGTAGAGGATTACTAGCGAAGCGAAAACGACGCTAGTGTAGTAGAGGATTACTAGCGGAGCGAAAACGACGCTAGTGTAGTAGAGGATTACTTTCGCTCCGCTAGTGTAGTAGAGGACTACTAGCATCGCTTTCGCTCAGCACTGACTAGCTCTACTATTATCTGCATGCTTTAGATGCTTCACAGTTGGAGCAGTGAAGAGCAATGAACCCATTTAATACCATTCAATACCATTTTTTAGGAGAATGAGACTCATGTAAAAAGTAGAGGGAAGGGAAGGGGAGGTGTAGAGGGAAGGGAAGGGGAGGTGTAGAGGGAAGGGAAGGGGAGGTGTAGAGGGAAGGGAAGGGGAGGTGTAGAGGGAAGGGAAGGGGAGGTGTAGAGGGAAGGGAAGGTGTACTAGTATTAGGTAGTGAGGTATATCGGTCTATTGGTGTAGTGAGGTGTAAAGGTGTAGAGATGTATTAGTATTAGGTGTAGAGGAGAGGTGTAGAGGTGTAAAAGTGTAGTGGTATTAAGTAGTAGCTGTCGCTTCGCTCCACTAGTAGCTGTCGCTTCGCTCCACTAGTAGCTGTCGCTTCGCTCCACTAGTAGCTGTCGCTTCGCTCCACTAGTAGCTGTCGCTTCGCTCCACTAGTAGCTGTCGCTTCGCTCCACTAGTAGCTGTCGCTTCGCTCCACTAGTAGCTGTCGCTTCGCTCCACTAGTGTAGTAGAGGATTACTAGCGTCGCTTTCGCTCCGCTAGGTATAACAATGTCGTAACGACATTGCAAGGTTTTCAACGACACAGAAATTTCAGCTTGATCAAAATCAAACCAACACTCTGTGATTGACCTTTTCAAGGATATATACAAGTCAAACATGTCGAATCCATACGGGTACACTGCTGACGCTTACCAGCCTCAGCAGCCACATCTACAACACCCACAACCGCAATATACTCAGCCAATGCAAATGCCGAATCAACCGCAACAACCACAGCACCCTCAACAAAGACAGTTTAATTTTTTGAACGACCCTGCTGCAGCGTTAGCTTCTCAATTTGCTCGTTCAGGATTCGAACAATCGAACCAGTACATTCAAGACAATTTCGGTTCATTTTCAGGCGATATCAAATACTATTTCCAGGTGAGTAACTCATATGTATTACACAAGATATTTCTTATTTTGTTTCCATATAGACAAAAGGATTGGAATAGAATAAGCACAAAGGAAACGGGCATAAACCAGTTTTTGCCTCCAACTCATGATGTCAATGCTCCTGACTTGTATATTCCCTTGATGTCGTTTGTTACCTATATCCTATTATGGGCCGCGTTTCAAGGTCTCAAGGGAGACTTTCACCCACAAGTGTTTGGATACTTGGCATCTCAAAGCGTGGCATTCTCAGTAATAGATATTGTGATTTTCAAAATCGGATTATACTTGTTGAATTGCTCCCAGAGCAAGGTTTACGATATCATCAGTTTTGCTGGGTACAAGTACGTCAGTATTGTTGTGTTGTTATGTTTGAAGCATTCTGTCGGGACATATTTGGGGTGGTTTTACTACTTGTTTGTGTTGGTCCTAATTGTTAATTTATCCATCTTCTTAATGAGACTGTTGAGATTTATCATTTTACCCCAGAGTAGTAGTAATGGCAGCAGTACAGTGAGTAATACCGTTACTAGCAAGCAGAGAAAAATCAGAATACAGTTTTTGTTTGTTTACTCGGTGATTATTCAGGGTATTATAATACTTTTCATGAGCAAGTAAGTAACCAGGCCTATCAACTAGCTAAGCAAGTTCAGCCAAAACGGTAAAGAATGAAGAAAAAGCAATACCGCCTTGCTTTTTAATCAACTCTCTTGCACAAAAAACTCTCACAAAACCTTACATTAAATAGCACCTCCTTACCAAACTTCCATAACAAATCTCATATCTCATAGCAAGCAGGCAGGCAAGCAGGCAGGCAGGCATCATCATCATTATCATCATCATCGCTTCTTCCATTTGAGTCGAGTCGACTCGTCCATCGCGCGCTACCAAACGTGAAACGCGTCTCTTTTTTTTTTTTTTTTTTTTTTTTTTTTTTTTTTTCAAATTTGAAAATTGCATTCGAAGGGTAACAAGTTTTGGTTGTGGTTCGAAAGACAAGTGAAAAAGAGCTGATTGAGGGTGGTTTCTAGGGATTTTAGAGATAGATAGAGGGATATAAGGTTAATCTGGGGCTTAGATGACATCGCGACCTAATTTTAGAGGGTCCAATAGCGCTCGATATGTCAGTAACAAGGGAGGTGATCGACAAGGAAGATTCAAGACTTTTGAGTATAAGAACAAAGAGCAAGCTTTGGTAGACCCCTATGTGGCGAATAATCCGATGCTCAATGACTCTATACAGAAGAAGGAGTTGGTTTCACGAATAGACCATATAGATACACTAATGGGGTTTGATCGGTTTGAGCATGGCGAAAATGATGGGAATAAACCAAGGAAAGGATGGTTGATCAATATGCATGCAACAACCATACCGAGCGACAATTACCTTACGGGCTATTCTGGTGTTGATTATTATTTCCTAGACGAAGAAGGAGGGAGCTTTAAATGTACTGTACAGTACGATCCATATTTCTTTATTGATACCGTTACTAGTGAATTTGAATCTGAAGTCGAGGAATGGATGAGAAAATATTTGGAAAATTGCCATGTGAAGAGCTTTGGAAGGGTCGTAAAGGAAGACTTGTCCTTGCCTAATCACCTACTAGGGTTGAAGAAAAGTTTAATCAAGTTGACATTTCACAATATCCAGGATCTTTTGGCTGCTAGGAGAATGCTTACTCCTATCATAAAAGATAACCAAATGAACAAAGAATCACGAGACATGTTTAATTTCAAAACCGATATTGATGCTAGTGATCCGCTGAAATTGATAAGTGACATTAAAGAATACGATGTACCGTACCACGTGAGAGTAGCCATTGATAAGCAAGTGAGAGTAGGTAAATGGTATAATGTGTACGCTAAGCATTCAAAGATTGATATTGTTGAAGACAAGGAACTAATAGCATTTGCTGATCCTGTGGTGTTGGCATTTGATATCGAAACAACTAAAGCACCGTTGAAATTCCCCGATTCAAGAATAGACCAAGTTATGATGATATCATATATGATTGATGGAGAAGGTTTTTTGATCACAAATAGAGAAATCATCGCTGAGGATATTGAGGATTTTGAGTATACTCCCAAACCCGAGTATCCTGGCTTGTTTACCATTTTTAATGAGCCCGATGAAAAACATGTTTTATTGAGATTCTTTGAACATATTAGGGATGTAAGACCAACAGTGATTGCTACATTTAATGGTGATTTTTTCGATTGGCCATTTATTGAAAACAGAGCAAGATTTCATGATTTGGACATGTTTGAAGAAATTGGATTCGCCAAGGATAACGAAAATGAGTACAAGTCAAAATACTGCGTACATATGGATTGTTTCCGATGGGTAAAGAGAGATTCATATTTACCACAAGGCTCTCAAGGTTTGAAAGCAGTAACGACGGTGAAATTGGGCTATAATCCAACAGAATTAGATCCAGAACTAATGACGCCATATGCATACGAAAAACCCCAACTTTTAGCAGAGTACTCGGTATCTGATGCCGTTGCTACTTATTATTTATACTACAAATATGTTCATCCGTTTATATTCTCGTTATGTACCATTATTCCGTTGAATCCAGATGAAGTTTTGAGAAAGGGAACTGGTACTTTGTGTGAAATGTTATTATCGGTTCAAGCTTATGAGGGAAATATACTATTGCCAAATAAACATTCTGATCCAATTGAAAGATTCTATGATGGCCACTTGTTAGAATCGGAAACGTACGTTGGTGGTCATGTTGAATCATTGGAGGCTGGAGTGTTTAGAAGTGACATTGCAACTGATTTTAAAATAGACCCAACTGCAATTGACGAATTACTCGGCAACCTACACAACTCTATAAAATTTTGCATAGAAGTTGAAAATAACCGAAAAGTGGAGGATGTGGAAAACTTTGAAGAAGTTTACGAAAAGATCAGGTTAGCATTACTTGATTTAAAGAAAAATCCTTTGAGAAAAGAAGAACCTTTTATTTATCATGTTGATGTTGCTTCCATGTATCCAAACATTATGACCTCGAATCGATTACAACCGGACTCAATGAAGTCAGAAGAAGATTGTGCTGCTTGTGATTTCAATAGACCTGGTAAGAATTGTGATCGGAGATTGCCATGGTCTTGGAGAGGTGAGTATTTTCCTGCCGAAATGAATGAGTATAATATGATTAAGCGAACATTGCAAAACGAGACATTTCCAGGTCAGAAACCATGGTTACCATCAAGGACATTTGATGAACTTTCGTATGCTGAGCAGGCCTCAGCTATCAAAAAGAGAATAAGTGATTACTCAAGAAAAGTTTATCACAGAGTAAAGCAAAACCAAGTTATTACTAGAGAAGCCATTATTTGTCAACGAGAGAATCCGTTTTATGTTAATACGGTGAGGAGTTTCAGAGATAGAAGATACGAGTTCAAAGGTTTAGCCAAGGTTTGGAAGGGAAAAGTGAATAAAATTAACAAATCGGATACAATTGCAAGAGACGAGGCAAATAAAATGGTTGTTTTATATGACTCATTGCAATTGGCGCATAAAGTTATTTTGAATTCATTTTATGGATATGTCATGCGAAAAGGATCTAGATGGTATTCGATGGAAATGGCCGGGGTTACTTGTCTCACAGGTGCCACAATTATACAAATGGCAAGAGCTTTAGTTGAAAGAATAGGAAGACCATTGGAATTGGACACAGATGGTATATGGTGTATCTTACCGAAATCTTTTCCCGATAATTTCAACTTAAAATGCAAAGATGGCAAAAAGATTTTTTTAGAGTACCCTTGTTCTATGTTGAATTATTTAGTTCATCAACAATTTACTAATGATCAGTATCAGGATTTGGTTGATTCTGATACATTTAAATACAGTACCAGGTCGGATAATTCCATTTTTTTTGAAGTTGACGGACCTTACAAAGCGATGATTTTACCCACTTCAAAAGAAGAAGGCAAAGGTTTGAAAAAAAGGTATGCTGTGTTCAATGAGGATGGTTCTTTGGCTGAATTGAAAGGATTTGAGTTGAAAAGAAGAGGAGAATTGCAATTGATCAAGAATTTCCAGTCGGATATTTTCAAATTGTTTTTAGAAGGAGATTCTTTAGAAACGTGTTATCAAGCTGTGGCCACCGTTGCCAATAATTGGTTGGATGTGCTTGATACGAGAGGTGGTATGTTGGAAGATGAGGATCTAATTGAATTAATTTGTGAAAATAGAAGTATGTCAAAGAGTTTGGCTGAATACGGTAATCAAAAATCTACTTCCATAACTACCGCCAAGAGATTAGGTGAATTTTTAGGAGAAGATATGGTTAAAGATGCTGGATTAGCTACTAAATATGTCATTAGTGCAAAGCCAATAGGAGCACCAGTTACTGAGAGAGCCATCCCCGTGTCCATTTTTTCTTCTGAAAAGAAAGAATTATATATGAAGAAATGGCTAAAAGATCCATCAATGACGAAATTCAGCCCTAGAGATGTAATTGATTGGGACTATTATTATGAAAGATTAGCATCTGTTGTTCAAAAGATTATCACCATTCCCGCTGCATTACAAAATGTTAAAAACCCAGTGCCTAGGGTTCCTCATCCTGACTGGTTGAAGAAAAGAATTGAAAATAAGGACAGTTCGAAACAACAAATTTCGATTGGTAAATTTTTCACTGCCGGAAGTAAGAATGAAAGTAAAGTTAAAGATATTGAAGATTTTGGTGATATTGACACCGAGGCTGCAGTCAAGGCTAAAATGATGAGTATGGTAAAATCCAAGAAAAGAAAAGCAGGGAGAGCCAATTTGGTATATGATTCTGAAGAGGAAGAGAAAAATCAGGCTCTTTTGAGTGGTACTTGTCCTTCCATAACAGAAGATTATTGTGGATTTTTAGAGTATCAAAAAGCAAAATGGTCAAATCAAGCTCAAGGAAGAGAAAGGAGAAAGAAGTTATTTGGTTCACAAGCCCAATCTTCTCAAAGGTCAACAGTAGGTGGCATGTTCAAGAAACAAGCCGAGACTATTGCCGGTACAAATTGGGAAATTTTGGAATACAAATTGGATCCAATGAAACCTGGTGACTTGAAGGTTTATGTTTCAGCAAATGGAAGAATACATACATTTAATTTCCATGTGCCAAAGAAAATATATGTTACGTTTAAGACTCCATTTTCTTCAAGACAAACTATTTCAGGGTGTGAAATTGAGAGTTCAAATAGCATACTACCTAATGGGCATGATGGATCTCATTTGTACAAGTTTACCATGCCGCAATCAGTTTATCAAGAACAAATGTCAAACGTTGAAAGTGTATTACAAAGATCCAATATTTTGGGTATTTATGAAAGCGGAATTAGTGCTATTGAAAGAGCAGTAATTGAATTGGGAAACACTGTGAGGTTTGATGATACGAAAGTCGGTGTACTAGGTAAAGGATTGAAAAATGGATTCAACATGAAGGAGTTATGGAAGATCCAAAATGATTCATATTTGAGAAAATTCGATATGGATATTGTTTATCTTCTTCACATTGTGGCCAATGAATACGAATATTTTACAGTATTCAAAAGCTGGGAAAACCATAGTTCTATGTTTGTTTTGAAGCCTTCTGCCATTGCGCAAGAATTGCCCAATAACAATCACAAAATATATAGAGAAGTTTTCCAGGATAAACGCGAGAAATTGGATAGAGTGAGAAACATTTTAAAGTATCCTGAGGAGATGTCGTTTGAAACGCTATATTATCATGATAAGAGTAAGCTTTTGAAAAAATTGAATCAAACGATTAGCAAATTGCACGAAAGTAGAAGCAGTAAAGCATTGTTTGCTATACAATCACCGTATACAAATAAGGTTTTGAACAGTTTAAGTTCAACATTTGATTTCCCTACAGTGAAAATGACAGTAAGTGAACTTACCCTTCCAGCTGTGGGCTGGCAAGTTTTAATCTCCAAGAGAGTGATTAACCATTACTTTGTTCTTGGTTCATGGATTCAAAATCTCATTTCTCTTGCAAAGTACGGTGGCATACCAATTTGTAATGTACAAATTGAAAATATTGGGTACCTTATTGATGTTGAATATGCTAGGAGATTAACTGAAAATAATATTGTTTTATGGTGGTCGCCCAATCCATTACCCGATCATGGTGGGTTTGAGAGTGATTGTGGTGTAAATGTGGAAAGTTTAAAGTTTCCAACTATAAATAATCCTGAGATATATGAAACAGCTTGTTTGGAAGTTGAAATTGGAACTCTCACCATTAATACCATTTTGACAAGTTCGCTCATTAATGAAGCAGAGGGTACTGATTTAGCTGAAGATTCAGTACTGTATGATGATAATAATAATGGGGCATCTACATTTGCTGTTGATTCTTTCTCAATACCAGCGTTATTGATTTTGAAAGGTATGGTGAAAGATTGGTGGGATGATGCTTTGCAAAATAATACCAATGCGGATTCTATCATGAACGCATTAATTACATGGGTTCAAAGAAAGGATTCCTTTATGTATGATCCTTTGTTGCATTATCATGTACACAATTTAAGTTGTAAGGCATTATTACAATTGGTTAACGAGTTTAGAAAAATCGGATCTCAAGTTGTATTTGCCAATAGAACAAAATTGATCATTCAAACATCCAAGATTTCAGTAGAAAACTCATATGCTTATGGTCAATATGTTTTAAAAGCTGCTAGATCGAAGCCACTTTTTAATTTCCTTGACTTGAAGATTATTAAATATTGGGACATATTAATATGGATGGATGAGTATAATTATGGTGGACGAAGTTGTACCGAGATTACTAATAATGACCAGCAGGATTTGATTGTGGAAAATGTATGGCAGTTGAAGAAATATTTACCGATTGTGTTTCAAAACGAATTTGAGGATTGGATTTTGATATTTTTGGATTCATTGCTTCAACACAAACTAGCAATGTTAACTGGAACCCAGTCTGGTACTCCAAGAGTTACTCAAATTCTCCATATTTTAAACGGGCAAAGAAATAAGCTTCATAAAACCAAACGAGGAGGAACAAAAGAAGGAGGAGGAGGAAGAGGAGGAAGAGAACAAGAAGAAGAGGAAGGGGAGGAAGGGGAGGAGGAGGAGAACAAGAATGCAGAGGATCTTGCAAATGGAGTTGTTGAGAAATTTAGAAAACCGTTACTCAAGAGGATTGAAAAATTGTATCGTCGACAAATTGATGCTATACTAAACCCTGAATTCAAGCAGGAATACGAGTTCCCCATGTTACCTGGATCTCATTTACCAATGAGAAACCCTGCTTTGGAGCTTGTCAAGTTCATTTGTGCCGTGTTTGCATTGTCCAAAAAGAGAAACATTGAAATGCGAGTTTTGAGGAAAGAATTGCTACAAATTTTTGACATAAAGGAGTTTAGCGACCAAGCGCAATTCAACAATCCAAGCACCTCGTTGATTGTGCCCCATGTAATATGTGACTATTGTAATCAAATCCGTGATATTGATATTTGTCGCGAAGAAGAACCAAAAGTGTGGAATTGCACCTCATGCAACAAGCCATATAACAAAATCGCTCTAGAAGAGGAAATCATTGCCCAGTTCACTCAAGTACTTGTCAGTTTCTATGATCAAGACTTGAAATGTAACAAGTGTCTGACAATAAGAAAACGCAATTTGGACTTGTTCTGTAAATGCTCGGGCCTGTGGGTCGAAACCGTGAGCTATACAGAAGTCGATAGTAAGGTGCACGTGTTCAATAACGTCTCCAAGTTTTACAACTTGCAGCTTTTAAAAGGATGGATAGAAGAATGCTTGTAGATGATGTTTAAATAGAAGAAATAGTTTGAAATTGGAAAAAGCCTCTTAATAAAAAAAACTGAAAAATTGAAAAATTGAAAAATGAAAAATACCAAACCCAAACCCAAACGCTTCTTTTTATTGCAAGCGTAGAGGGTTTGAGTTTAAGTTGAGTTCAGTTTGGGCAGAGTCCGCGTGTTTATTGCAAGCAAAGAGGACCTGGGTTTAAGTTGAGTTCAGTTTGGGTAGAGTCCACGTGTTTTGTCTTTAGAAATGAGTCTAACACAGGAACAATTGGTTCAGTTAAAAAGCTCTGTTATAGAACGGGACAGTCAATTCGATGCTTTGAACGCTTATATTAACAAAGATGCCGCTTTGTCATCATCATGCATTCTTGTCAATAGTTTTAAGCCAGTTGGCAAAACGCTAGTTGTTAAGGCATTTCTCAAGATGATGGGACTCCGACATTCGATAATACAATGTGATGAATGTGTTTCCAAGCAGATGCTACTACAAAGGTGCTACAATAGTTTATTACACGATAGTGGTATTCCAACTACAAACAAGAATCATTATGTACCTTCGACATCAGAGAACTTTGCTTCGCTTTTATCGGCATTAGAAGACTTTATAGTCAAGAATGATTATCGAGAGCATCATGTTCTAGTATTGGACCGATTTGACCAAGTTTTTGAGAATTGCGAGTCGATGATTAGTGCTTTGAGTAGATTTAAAGAGTGTTCCAAAGTACAGAATTTGACTGTGGTTGTTATATTCAACGGCGCTGTTCCTCGAGATGTTGTTACTTACACTAATCCAAATGTCTATTTTCCCGTTTATAACGAAACCCAGCTTGTTCGAATATTGCAGCAGGAAAAATTGTGCAAGTTTACTTTCCACGTGGACGAAAGCGAGGCTAGGAAAGAAGAGTTTTACAAGCAGTATGCTAAAGTTGTTGTTGACTCGTTTTTTGACTATACTGGATCTGATGTGACTTTATTGAAGTCATTGGTGGTTAAATTGTGGGACGGTTTTGTTGACCCTATACGACTAGGAAATTACAAAATGACAGATTTCGTTAAGCTTTATAAGGAAAATATTGAAATGTTTTCTGCTCGTGATGACCTAGTTTGTAGTTCGAACGTTATCGAGTACAGAACACTACAAAATGAAGACAATGTAGGATTTGCCAATGTGCAAGATTTACCACTTCATTCGAAATTTATTTTGCTCGCATCATACTTGGCATCTCATGGAAACCAAAGGAATGACTTGCACAAATATGCAAAAGTGAAAGTATTCAAGTATAAGAAACGAGCGTCAAACAAGGCCGGGAAACAGGGACATTTAAGCAAGAGTGATATAGATAATCGGCTATTAACTGCAAATTATGTTGATTTGGAACGGATCTTGGCTATATTATCAGTCATATATCAGCACCTGGCCCCACTGTTGAATCAGTCAGATAAAAATGATTTGCTTTATTTGGATGACAAGGTTGTTGAAAATGAATTGAAAAAGGACCAGGAGAAACTGAAGTTTACGTTAACGAGAAACATTGACTTGAACAATCAGATAGCCACTTTGTTTTCATTGGGGTTTTTAGGCAAGACTGCTACATCAGATATATTAGCTGCTAGAATACGATGGAAGTGTAATCTTGATTGGCCTACTGTTGAAGCAATTGCGAAATCTGTCAATTTCCCAATTACCGACTTTCTAGCGGATGCCTAAAAGAGTCCAAAACTCCTTTACCTACTCGAATGAAATTTGTTCTATATGTCGAAATGTGTCATCTCCGAGTTTGCGAACTTCAACATTGTTTTCGAAATAAGTTTCCTTCCAATGTTTCATCTCGTATTCGGAATAGACTCCATTTATCCTATCGTCTCCTATCCACTTAAACTCCCATATTTTTTCTCCATAATCCCCCACTTCCTCTTCCTTTCCTTCTCCACCTCCACCACCACCTTCTTCTTCTTCTTCTTCTTCTTCTTCTTCCCCCTCCTCCTCTTCTAGTTCTTTTCTTCCTCCCTTTTCGTCTTCATCATCTCGCACTCGTTTCAAATTGTTGTGCCTTGTATACTCAACACCTGTTTCCATTTGATATTTTCTCATCATTTGCTCCCTTGTCATATCATGAATATCCTGTAGATGATGAAAGTTGATAAGTGATGAGCATAAATCAACAATACGTGAAATATTCTTTTCTACTTGTTTCCTGCTTGTCAACTCTTCTTCATCCTTTTTCTTCTTGTCTATTTTCTTCAACTTGTGGTTCAATCGAGCCATTGCTTCCAATGGCGTCTCAACAGGCTCAACCAACTCAATCAAGGAGCCAAGCAAAACATTGATTTTCTCCATTGTCTTGTCTCGATTCTTTGCATCCGTTTGAGCAAAGTCCCTTTCACGATTTTGTTGTGCTAATCTAGCCTTGCGTATTTCTGACTTTTTAACATCTTTTAACCATACATCTTCTTCACTCTCTTCATCCAGTTTTGGGAATGAATCATTAGGGATATAGTTTCCTTCTTTATCAAACTTTCCTTCTTTCTCTTCCTGTTTCAAGTCAAATGATTCTAATTTGGGCTGTCTCTTGGGTTTTGATCGTCGAAGATTTTCGAAATCTTCGGCTCCGTTAATGTAGTAGTCGTTGAAGTCCTCGTCTTCATCCTCATCCTCATCCTCATCCTCATCCTCATTTTCATCCCCATCCCCATCCTCATCCTGGTTTGCACTTTCTGAACCTTCTCTGTTATTCTCAAAATCTACTGTTATTATCTCATCATCTTTGGCAAACTGTATGCGAGGCTTCTTTCTATACTTTTCATCATCGCTTGCAAACATATCATCACTTCCATCGTCGATTCCCTCAGCCACACCGCCATCTCCTAGACTCGAAAGTTTGCCCATATCACCATCACCATTATCATCATCACTTGCAAACATATCCTCTTCGCTTGCATCACCATTAGTCAGCGAGTCCATATTGACTCCCACTTGAGTATTCAGCAAATCCTCGTCTTCTGACGAGGTATCTGAAGCATAAGCTTGCCTCAAATCCACCCTGGTCGCTTGCCCTTTCATTATTGCCTATGCCATTGACTGTGGTCAGCCTCGAACCAGGGAGTTTTCAACGGAGTGATCGAGCCACCGCCGCCACCGCCGCCGCCGCCGCGCCAGCGCCGGAAAAAAACGACAAAAAAAGTTTCTTTTGCGCGATGAGCAATGAGCGATGAGATGAGCAATGAGATGAGCAATGAGTTTCAAGGGTCACGTTTGTACTTGAGTCTGTGTAGGGCATGACAGAAGAAGGGGTGGATTTTGATATAGAGGATGTGTTAAATCCGGAAGATGAGAATTACCAAATAGGGTATAGACAAGGCCAGCAACAATCGGCAAGACAGCAATATCTTGAAGGTAAACAGTATGGTTATCAGACGGGATTTCAACGATTTTTGATCGTTGGTTATATTCAAGAGCTCATACTTGACTGGGAAAACAACTGTTCCAACTATTCCAATTGGGCTCAGTTGTCGCTGCACTTGGGTCAACTTAGAGAGTTGGTGTTTGGTCTTTCACTAACTAATGGACAACGAGAAGTTGAAGATTTCGAGAAGAAGTTAAAGTTGGCAAGAAACAAATTGAGAGTAATTGTGTCATTGACGAAGGAGTCCTGGAAGATTAATCGATTGGATGAATTAGTCAAGGAAGTTGCTGGGGAATTACAAGTTGGCGAAAGAAACGTTGATGATTGGTGACGCAATCGAGCAACACTATCGAGCAACAACACTATCGAGCAACAACACTATCGAGCGAAGCGAGATAGTGTTGTAATAAGCTACTGGGTGTTGCTCCACTGTTGAGCAACACTATCGAGCAACACTATCGAGCGAAGCGACCTTCGTCGAAATAAAACGGGCTACATTACAACGGGCTTACCTTCATTGAAATAAAACGGGCTTACACCCAGTAGCTTGTCGTAACAAGCTACTGGGTGTTGCTCCACTATCAAACAGTGACACTATTGGTGACACTAGCGATGGCACTATCTCGCTCTGCTCGATAGTGGATCAACACCCAGTAGCTTGTTACAACACTATCTCGCTCTGCTCGATAGTGTTTGGGCGTCCCCTGTAGATACAATATAGACTCTAACAATTGAATAACCAATTATCGACAGCTCTATACCTTACCAGAGCGGACTTTAAACAGCAGTATAAAAACGGGCTTCTATTTATAGAAATAAACGGGCTTACATTGAAACGGACTTACAGTGAAACGTTCTTACCTTCGTCGAAATAAAACGGCCTACATTAAAACGGGCTTACATTAAAACGGACTTATATTCATCGAAATTAAAAAATACCGACACTATCGAGCAGAACAAGATAGAGCTGTAACAAGCTAATCAGTGTTGTAACAAGCTAATCAGTGTTGTAACAAGCTAATCAGTGTTGTAACAGGCTAGTCAGTGTTTCAACAAGCTATCGAGTGTTGTAACAGGCTAGTCAGTGTTTCAAGAAGCTTATGTAGAAGAATTAATAACAAATTTACAAAATTTAGAGTGTTGCTCTATAACAAGCTAGAAAGTGCTGCTCCACTATCTCGCTCTGCTTGATAGTGTCACACAGTAAGACCAGTGCTGCTCCACTATCTCGCTTCGCTCGATAGTGTAGCTCGATAGTGTAGCTCAATTGTACCTTGTCTCAATGCCGCGCAAGATAAAATAATTCCGTTTCTTTTACCGCAGGTTGATGTTAGCTCATGTCGCCAGAGACTGATACCTTGATGAATCACTAAAAATGGAAAAAGGTCGGTATTATTCTCCCCTTTGACACTATCGAGCAAAGCAAAATAGTGGAGCAACACTTGCTGCTGCCCCCCTGCTGCCCCCCTGCTGCCCCCCTGCTCCCGCGACACTATCGCGACAAGTTGGTGCTATAATTTTTAATGCCGTCCATCTTGACGCTGGTAGTTGTCATTGAGAATATGTCAAGGCTATGATATTATCTCCGTGTTTGATTTTGCTTTTGGAATATATAAGACAGTCTTGGGAGTATCTAGGGGTTGACTAGAGGAAAAGGTTCAAAGGTTACTAAAGGTTGCTCAAAGGTTATCCCACGGGTGCTACACTATCGAGCTACACTATCGAGCTACACTATCGAGCTACACTATCGAGCTACACTATCGAGCAGAGCGAGATAGTGGAGCAGCACTGGCCTTACTGTGTGACACTATCGAGGTTACTCAAGGTTACTAGGCTATTAAAGGCTACTGGGCTATTAAAGGCTATTAAAGGCTACTGGGCTATTAAAGGCTACTAAAGGCTACTAGGTTATTAAAGGCTACTGAAGGTTACTAGGTTACTAGGTTACTAAGCTACTAGGTTACTAAGCTACTAGGTTACTAGGTTACTTAAGGTTACTAGGCTATTAAAGGCTACTAAAGGTTGCTCAAAGGTCACCAAAGGTCACTAAAGGCTACTAGGTCACTAGGTCACTAGGTCACTAGGTCACTAGGTCACTAGGTCACTAGGTCACTAGGTCACTAGGTCACTAGGTCACTAGGTTACTAGGCTACTAGGTCACTAAGTCACTAGGTCACTAGGTCACTAGGCTACCAAAGGTTATTCCACAGGGCCCATTTTTTGCAAAGCTGATACAATGGATGACGATTTGAGCACTTTAGAGATTGGTGATAATCTCTACAAACGTCAAAAGCGTATACTTACGTTTTTATTCAGAAACAAACAATATCCAATCCCAGAAGAACTAAAGAGAATTCCATATCCTGAAAAATCAAGTAATATAATATCAAGAGTATTCTTCTGGTGGGTATCACCTTTATTGATAGTCGGCTATGTGCGTACGTTACAGGCAAACGATCTATGGGAATTGACTCCCGAGATGAGAGTCGAATATCAGTATGAGGTCTTTGAGTCGTACATGCAGATAGAAATGAGACAAAGGCAATTGGACCACATTAAAAAGAAATGCAAAGAAAGAAATGAAACTATAGAAAACATCGTGGTTCCTCAAGCTAAAGATTTGGAAGATTTCCAATTACCTGCATTGAGTATCTTGCTTGTATTGTTTCTCACTATGAAACGACAAATTATCGTTAGTTTGCTCATGTCTGTTTTGTCACTTGCTGGAATGGCCTTGACTCCATTGTTAACTAAGAAATTGATCAGTTTTGTTGAGGAGAGAGCTTTGGGTGTGGCTGCATCACTCGGTACAGGCGTTGGTTATGCAATCGGCGTTGTAGTATTGATGTTGGTATCTAACATCTTATTCAATCATTTCTTTTATCACAGTGGAATCATGGGTGCTCAAGCCAAGGCATTATTGACTAAAGCAATTATGAATAAGTCTTTCAAGTTGGATGCAAAATCAAGACATAAATTTACTCCAGCTAAGATTACTAGTTTGATTACAACAGATTTGTCAAGAGTCGAAATTGGTTATTTGTATCAGCCATTGTTGATTTGTCTTCCAATACCAATTGTAATTGCCATTGTTATATTAATCATAAACATTCGTGTTTCAGCAGTTATTGGTATCGTAATCTTTATAATCTTTTTAGGATTCATATCTATTGGTGCATCGAAATTATTCAGTTATAGAGACGTGGTTAGTAAGATTACCGATGAAAGAGTCAACTTGATGAAGGAAATACTTAACAATTTGAAAATGATTAAATATTATTCATGGGAGCATCCCTATCACAAGAACGTCACTGAAGTAAGAGGTCGAGAAGTTGATATGGTTTTAAAGATACAAACTTGGAGAAACGTAATATTCTCCTTAGCCATGACATTAACTGGTATCTGTTCTATGTTCTCGTTTATCATATTGTATGCAATTGATGGTAAAACGAGCTCTCCAGCAAATATGTTCTCCTCGGTCTCGACATTTGAGATCTTGGGTTTGATGGTGTTTTTTATTCCAGTGGCTTTGTCAACCACCGCAGATATGATCATGGCATTTAGAAGAACTGGTGCCTTGTTATCTGCTAGTGAGGTGGAAGCATACCCTGGCTATAAAGTGAGTGATGATCATAACAATGATAAAGCAGTGGTTCTAAGAAATGCTTCCTTTAGCTGGGAGGTTTTTGATGATGACGAGGATGAGGAAGAACAACTTTCGAGGGAGGAGGTGAAAAAGAAGAAGAAAGCCGAAAAGAAGGAGAAGAAAGAAGCCAAAAAGATGTTGAAAATGGACAAGAAGAAGAAGAAGTTGGACAATACAGTAGAAATGGAAATTTTTCAAAAGACGACTTCAAAAAAACCAGAAAGCAAAGGTTTGGCGAAAGATGGTGATGATGGTGATGATGATGATGATGATGAGAAGGTAGATTTTACTGGATTTAAGAATCTTAATCTACAAATACAAAAAGGTGAATTTATTGTTGTTACCGGAACCGTTGGCTCAGGAAAATCTTCTTTATTGAGTGCTATTGCAGGATTTATGAAGTGCGACGACGGAGAAGTTGACATCAATGGGCAACTTTTACTTTGTGGAGAACCATGGATACAAAATAATACCATTCGTGAAAACATTACTTTTGGCTCTCCCTTTAGTCAAGAACTCTACGATGATGTTATTTATTCGTGTGCCTTGAATGTTGATATAGATCACTTGGAAGGAGGTGACTATACTGAAGTTGGTGAAAAGGGAATAACTTTATCTGGAGGGCAAAAGGCTAGAATTCATTTAGCTAGAGCTGTGTATGCTCAAAAGGAAATCTTATTAATGGATGATGTATTGAGTGCTGTTGATGCACGTGTAGGCAAACATATCTTAAACAATTGTTTTTTAGGATTATTGAAGCATAAAACTAGGATTTTGGCGACGCATCAATTATCATTGATTGGGCAAGCCGATAGGATTGTTTTTTTGAATGGTAATGGATCAATCGATGTGGGTAAGATGGATGAATTGTTAGTGGAGAACAGTGACTTTAACAAGCTTATGCAATTCAACAAATTTGAAGCAACTGATGAAGAGGAAGAAGAAGAGGAAGAGAAAAAGAAGGAGGAGGAGGAAGAACAAGAGGAGAAGGAGAAGGAAAAGGAAAAGGAAAAGGAAAAGGAAAAGGAAAAGGAAAAGGAAAAGCGACAGCTGGAACTTTCAGCTGATGAATCAGATGTGGGTACTATTGGCGTTGCAGACCTTGTTCCTCAATACATTCATACTTTGAAAATAGACAGCAATCAAGAATTGACTAGAAGAAGAGTTGGTACAGAGATTGGGATTGAGGATACCGAGTACAAGGACTATAACTTGAACAAAGATGCGTCAAAGGGTAAACTTATTGTTGAAGAAGAAAGAGCAGTCAATAGTTTGAAGTTTGAAGTTTACAAAAACTACCTCAAGTTTGGTGCAGGGAAATACGGCCCATTTGCATTCCTTGGTGTATTTCTTGTATTGTTGACTTTGTCTACATTTAGCGACATCTTTACAAACACTTGGTTATCCTTTTGGATTCAAGGGAAATTTCCAGGTCGATCCGCAGGATTCTATATTGGCCTTTACGTCTTGTTTAACGTTCTTTGGGTCATTTTTCTAACAGTTACCTTTATTGTTTTTATTACAGGGACCACGCTATCATCCAAACACATGAATTTATTGGCGATTAATAGAATTTTGTATTCACCGATGTCATTCATGGATACCACCCCGATGGGTCGTATTTTGAATAGATTCACTAAGGATACAGATGCCTTAGACAATGAGATAAGTGAAAATTTAAGACTTCTTTTCCAATCGGGTGCCAAAATGATTGGTGTGTTTATCCTACTCATCATTTACTTGCCGTATTTTGCTTGTGCATTACCTGCTATTTTTTTATTGTTTTTCTTGATAGCCAACTTCTATCAAGCATCGAATAGGGAAGCTAAGAGGTTGGAAGCCATTTTGAGATCATTTGTTTACAACAATGTTAATGAGATGTTGAGTGGTATGAGCACAATCAAGGCATTCATGAATGAATCTCGATTTGATAAACGGGGAGATTTGTTATTGGACAAGACAAATGAGGCCACCTTTATTATTAATGCTAATCAAAGATGGTTAGGAATCCAGTTGGACTTGTTGGCAAATGTTATTTTCTTACTCATTGCTTTGCTTTGTGTAAATAGGGTGTTTCACATTTCTGCCGCATCAGTTGGATTATTAATGACTTATTCTATGCAGATCACTGGTGAATTGAATAATTTAATGAGAGCGTTCACCATGGCTGAGAATGACATGAATTCAGCAGAGAGGATATGTCATTATGCATTGAAATTAGATCAAGAAGCGCCGTATGTTAAAGAGTCTACTAAGCCTCCTGATAGCTGGCCTGAGAATGGAGCCGTTGAGTTCGTTGATGTGAATATGAAATATAGACGGGGTTTACCTTTAGTGCTCAAGGATTTATCGTTCAGAGTCAATCCAAGAGAAAAGATTGGAATTTGTGGTCGTACTGGTGCCGGTAAGTCCTCAATAATGACTGCCTTGTTTAGATTAGCCGAATTAGATGGCGGGAAAATATTGATTGACAATGTGGATATATCTACTATTGGATTGAAAGACTTGAGACTGCATTTATCTATTATTCCACAAGACCCCGTGCTTTTCAACGGTAACATTAGATCTAATTTGGATCCATTCAGCGAACAAACTGATGACATTCTATGGACGTCTTTGAGAAGAGCTGGCATTTTGACTGCTGAGGAAATTGAAAATGCTAAATCTATAGATCCTAAGAATAGTGAAGGTATTGAGTTACCCAAATTCCATCTATATCAACAAGTCACAGATGAAGGCGGGAATTTTTCACTTGGTGAACGACAGCTTATTTCATTTGCTCGTGCACTCGTACGTAACTCCAAAATGATCATCCTTGATGAAGCTACCTCTTCCGTGGACTACGAAACAGATGCCAAGATCCAGACCACTATTGCGTCCGAGTTTAACAAGTGTACCATATTGTGTATCGCTCATCGATTAAAAACTATTTTGAATTATGATAGGATTTTAGTAATGGAAGGAGGTACTTTGAAAGAATTTGATACGCCTTGGAATTTATTTAACGGTGTCAATGGTGCTGCTGTGTTTAGAGAAATGTGTGATAAGTCCAATATCGTACAAGAAGATTTCAAGAATAGAATAGTTTAGAGATTAGAAGAATAAATCAAAACATAAAACCACTTTCACCGCAGAACTTAGAGGAACTGATTTTTCCCGGTGTATTTTTGAAGTATCTGATTATCCTTGTTTTCCTGTTTTGCTGCTTTACTGCTTTTTCTGACTTCCCTCTCACCAGTAACACCGAATTAATCCACTTCAAGCGCCACAGATGAAAGAGGGCAACAAACGTACTAATCTTTTCAACACACTTTCTACACCCTTTTGATTTTCCCACTACCGATATGCTAGATGAGTTCTCTTTTATTTTCCAGCGTAAACGTGTCTTGTCTTGCTTCAAATTTCAAACACATAAAAAAGAAGACCCCTCTTGCCCTTTTTAAATGAATAGAATCTTAGTTCAAGACTTGGCTTAAACATTTTTTTTATATATACTTTAGAGTCTTACTGTAATTACGAGTTTGGAAATATGATAGACAACGCGGCCACTGGATCAAAAACCGAAGAAAGAAAAAAAAAAAAAAAAAAAATAAGAAAATGAAAAACGGCCTTAGGTTGCCCGAGCATTTAAACCAGCATGATTGACCCACGGGTTTCTGGAGGGGAGCACCTGAGAAATTAACGTATCGATAGAGCTTATGTAGAACAGTGCCAAAAAAAATAAAAGAGTTGTTTTCCATTGAGTATTTTTTTTTACTGATTTTTTATGTCCAGAAATAAAATATTAAGTCGAGCTGCTTTTAAGAGCGCGGACATAAGTCCACAAACTTAGTATTATCCTCTCGTCATAGAAATGATCTATGCAATGTCCAAAATTATAGCCGCGAGATAAAAAGAAAAATTCAGTTCCAAAAAAATTACCCCCCCAGCTCGAATTTTCATAATGCTGACAATTGGCGTTGGATGGTTTGACATTGAGCACTATTGACTTGGTTTTAGCATATTGTTAACAACTTAACAACATCCGAATCCTAATTATCTGTATAGGGTATTATCAAAAATCCAGATAGTGTGTATTTTTCAAATAGAGCGGAAAGCTTAATAATATTATATTTCGCAGAGAACAAATTTAAAAGAAAGAAAAGAACAAGAAGTCCCTCTTTCTCTCTCTCTCTCTCTCTCTCTCTCTCTCTCTCTCTCTCTCTCTCTCTCTCTCTTTTCCTTTCCTTCTCCTTTTCTCAAGATGATGTTTTTTTTTTTCCTTCATGTTTCCTAAAAGAGCAAACAATATTGTTTCTGAAAATTCAGCTGCATTTGTGTATCAGCATTGGCAATAGAGAAAGTACTTCCTATAGAGTTATGATTTTGAAATGCGCTTTTCCTACATTGTTTGTTCAATCAAAAATAGGACTTAGTGGCCAATTCTTTTTTCTTCTGTTTATTTTCGACAAACTGAAAATCAAGTTTATTTTCAAAATTATTGACATACCCCTCTTAACGAGATGTCGTTCTCTGAACTACTATTATTTCGTTGTTATTAAAATTCGTAGAAGAAGTGTTCTAATTATTATTGTTGGATTATAAAATTTGTCGCTCTTTTAAGTATTGCAATGTCGTTGATCTACCAACAAATTTGGCGCACCAGAAGATGTGATAAATGTCGCACTTGATGCCAGTCAAGGTGCTTCACTAACCTACTGATCCCCAAACATTAGCTGCGCAAACTAACAACATTTGAAAGTAATATTTATTTGGGGTTGATGGCGACTTTTTTGTACTACACTCTGCGATATTCCACTGCTAGCTGCTGCAAATTTTTTCCCATTTCCAATGCGACTAATTTTCCCTTTGCCAAACGACATTCAATGCAAACTTTTTATCCCCTACATTTAATAGTAGTTGGTAGTGCGACATTTTTAACAATTATGTCATGGAATGTTTGTATTTGGAAGAACGACAATATCACGCTGGCATTAACGACATAAACACTCCTCGCTCTCAGCAATTTCAACACACTCCACAGCGACATTAAGAAGCTACATGAACGATATTACGACAGATCAAGTCGTACCATCCACTTAAAAGAGGTGCGACAATAATTCTGAAAACACTGTATGATATCATACACTGTTATATTCTGAGAACTTTCGAAACACTATTTGGGAAAGAAAAAAAGCTTAATCAAAGAAAACGTTTCGCTCATACTGGTAGTAATAAAGTTTACAAATTTCAATGTTTTACGAAATTGGGCTATACAATTTTCCTCCGTGTCAGTTCAGGTCCCCACCCACTTTTACCCCCTTTATTCTTTCTTTTTTAAAAGATAAAAGCAAAAGTAGCAAAAAACAAAATATTACCAACAGGGGGGTTGAAGAGGTATTTTCTATTTGGAGCTTCTTAACATGTTTTTCTAAAGTACAATAGAACTAATTTTTCCCCTATCAGTAGAAAGACCCCCTACCTATTTTGAAGGCTTGTATTATTTTCTTTTTCTTCCTCTTCCTATTGTGTCTCTCATTTTTACGGAATTATTACATGCTTGAATCGTGTTCTAGTAACAATGACCAAAAATCTGCATCCCAATTATTAGCGAAATACAGTCGAAATAACCCATTTGATCTCACTTTAGTCCTTTTTGGATCTGGTCGTATATAGCTTAAAAGTACATAAGGGTCCTTTGTTCCCCCCCCTCCACCTTCTTGCCTTCTGCCTTAATGTGGATTCCTCTCTTATTTTCTTTTCTTTCTTTTTCTTTTTTTTTTCTTTTTTTTTTTTACATATGAAACAAAATCAATCAATACTAGTTGTTTTGTTAATGAACTATGTTTCTCTCACAATAATAGTAAGTATTGTGTAATATCATCTTTTTCCTACAACAGCCCTAATGGGGTCGAATTATTATTTTACAGACGAAAGAAGAAGAAGCTAGCGCTGGTTAGGTCTTTACTCAACTTGGTCGTGCTGACCCTGTTACAAATTAATACTCTGATTTCTATCCTGACTTTGGGGTTTTGCAATTTTTATCTATATATGTGCATATGTATATATATATCTTGACGTATCTACCAATATATTGTTAGTCAACGGTTTTCCTATATATTGAAAATATTTTAAACTCAGGCATCAACTTGCATTAAGCACATTCACCTGACAATAAATAATAAGAATTCTATTTATTGTATATCGGAAGATATCTTAATAGAGAGTGTTTCGGTAGATGAATGAACAACAAAACAACAATGTTCATTCATTATCTGATTCTAGTGTTCTTATTAATCAAAAGTCCTTTGATGATGAAACGTCTAGTACTAAGAATTTGAGTTTCTCAACTCAGCAAAAACAAGGTTCTCGAACGCACACTTTGCATATGCGTTCCCCGCTATTAAAAAGTACTAGAGTAGATTCCACTTCTGACATTATCGAGGACAAGAATGTAGAGAGCGTAATGATAATAGACCAAAGAGAGAAAAAAGAAGAGGGTGAAGAAGAGGGTGAAGAAGAAGAAGAAGAGGAGGAGGAGGAGGGGGAGGAGGGGGAGGAGGGATTAGAGGAGGGGGAACTTCAAATGGAAGATTTGGCTCCTCCCTTGCTTGCAACATCACCCAACTTTGGCTTTGGTATAACCATGACAAAAGGTAGACGTCAGAATAGAACTGCAGCAGAACATGCCTTATTAAATAAATTTGAAAGTGAGGTAATGGCGAATGCAGACGCAGTGAGAACGTTGAATAAACTAAAGCTTAAAACTAAGGACAAGTACTTGTACCAAATAAGGAGATATATTAGGTTTTGTGCAAATAAAGGTCTTAATGAATTTTATGTAACTTTACCTATCGCCCAAGAACTAATTGAATACGAGTTTAAAAAACGAGAGGGGAACATTTTAAGTGAAAACACAATTAAAAGTATAAGATCTCCATTAAACAAATTATATGCAATGAATAAAATTGTATATCCTTCACAACAACCGGAAGCTTATCTTGATGATCAATTTATTAAGGACATTATGGCCAAACAACAAAACTCCCTATTACAAGCACAGCGGCAATCACAAATGACAGGAGAAGAGAACAATAATGAGGCCAATATTTCAACTCCTACAACTTTAGGTGGTAGTGCAAGCCTACTCAGCTTACTCAACAACGCAAACACCGTACTTTCTCGCTCAGAGCCAGTTTCGGCAATAATTTCAACAGATACATCAGTATCACCACCAAAACAATTAAACTCTGAATTTGAAAAAAATATGGTCTACCCCATCGGCATCACGGCCAACTTACCAATTACTTCAAGTGTAGACGAGAAGCAGGCAAAAACTTCTTCCTCCTCCTCATCGAGTATATTCAATCTAGGTACGAGATTTTTCCGTTTAAGCGAAAGTTCAAAACATAGATTAACTGAAAATGAAAGCCTATTGTTACGTAAATTTGATGATGAAGTTTTGGAAAGTCACAAGACCCGGGACATATTGATGAATTTAACTGAAAACACGTTCAAGTCGTATGCCACTGATATTAAACGGTTTATTCGATTTTGCGCAAGAAAGGGTAAAAGCGATTTTCTAATTGACGATCAAATATTAACCCGGTTCTTAGTATTTGAGAGCAGTAAGAATAAGAAAAACAAGTTGAAGAACATAAGAACCAGTTTGTTGAAACTACATCAATTGAATTGTCTTGCTTATGATTTAGATTTTTCTGAGGGAAATATTGTTTTGGTGATGAACAAATTTTTGGACAGCAACAATAATCGTGATATACCATCTGAGACACAGCTGCAGCTCAAAAAACAAGAGCATTTCATCCCAGATTATGAAGATTCCGACGACGATAAGCTAGTAGCGAGTTTAAAAAACTTGTACCAAACGTCAAATGTCTTAAGCGGCTTGTCTGAAACAAGTAAGAAATTGTACTCTAACGAGTTTAACCGCTATGCGTTATTTTGTTCCAAAATTGGATTGCAACATTTTCATTTATCTGGCGAGTTAATTAAGCGGTTCTTTATTGAGGATGTCATAGCAAGAACTCCGACAATCACATGTAAGAAATTACAGGAGATTTTGAGTAGACTAAACCGGTTACATGCGTTGAATGTTGATTTGAAGTTGACTCAATCTGATACCATTGAAAATATCGATATTGTAAAGACTTTTTTGAAAGAATACAATAATGATAATAATAACCATAAGAATCAATTGTTATCCGACACTACTACTGCCGTTACCACTAGTACCACCAACACTGGCAGTCCTGTAACTACCGTCCATACTGCCACTGCAAATACTACAGCAGGTGCTGCTGCGGCAACAGTTATTACAACAAGTAATCAAGAGATTACAAGTAGCGGAAAAACAAGTAGTTCTAGCACAAATGGTAACGGAGCAGACACACTTTCAGCAGCTTCACTATCGGGATCTTCGTCAACAGGAACTAGATTGCCACACTTGTATTTTACTAATGATGCAACTGGCGGTGCCATTGAAGCGGGCCTGCTGTCCTCGGAACAAACAAGTAGTAGTGGAGAGTTAAACACCGCGACAACTACAAATACAACTGCCAAAACCCACTCTATTCACATCACATTGCAACAACAAAACAAAAAGCTAAAAACTATTAAAAATGAGTTGATGTTGAAAGAGATTGAACCAAACAATAGAAATGTAGATTGTGACAAAGCTCAATCGAGTGTAGCCACAAAGCCCATTATGGAGAATAATAATGATGATAACAAGGAAGAAGAGGAAGAGGAAGAAGAGGAAGAAGAAGAAGATGATGATGATAGTGATGATGATGCTGATGACGACGACGACGATGAAGATGATGTTGTTTATACTCATCCTAAGTCTATGCTTAGACAAGTGATAGAGAGTGTAGAGCAGAACGAGAGTAATGAAAAGCATAGCAAAGAGTCAGTAATCCGGGATGATGGTAGCAGAAGTGATGAAGCTGGTCAAGGAGGTAATATTGACAGCAGTAATCGCTTACCAGAAGCAAATGAGTCAATTCCAAAATTTTTCGCAAACTGCCATATTGCATCCATAACTCAGCTTGTAGAAGAATGGACACTAATCATAAGGTGCAAACGAAAATATATCCTTGGATGGATTAAAAGTATGAATGATACTCAAATCTATAGTAAACGAAAATTAATCATGGACTTGATCGAGGAGTTGCTACCAATCATAAATGAAAAATATGCAGGGTTAAATCTCGATATAGTGAATTACAATGGAAGTGGTGACGAAGTTGACGATATTTTTGAAGTTGCAAAGATATTTGATCAATACCTTGAGAGGAAGAAAATGACATTTAAGGACTTTGCAAGGAAAATTGAAACGTATCCTGTTTATACCAAGAGGGAGTTCCTTAGAATACTAACACGAAGAAAAAGCAACTTCACTAAGGAGTAGACTCTTGGGCGAGGAAGCCTCTACAGGGGGGGGCCACCTTCCCCAATCCAACTCTCTCAACCTTCCTGTCTCAACCCACTAGTCAATACGGCTCAATAGTGTCACTAGAGTCAATAGTCAATAGTGTCACTAGAGTCAATAGTCAATAGTGTCACTAGAGTCAATAGTCAATAGTGTCACTAGAGTCACTAATCAATACTGCTAGATAGTGCCCTAGAGTCACTAATCAATACTGCTCGATAGTATCACTAGTGTCACTAGAGTCACTAGTCATTACTGTTCCACTATCTCGCTCTGCTCGATAGTGTCACTACCAATGCCTATCTTAGTAAGCAGTCATAGAATATGTATGTTTGGATGTATATTAGTTGTCTTTTTTTCCATTGAGGTAATATTGCCTGGTCAAGAATCCACAGTTTATCAACACCTTTGTTACATCAACCTTTATATATAAAAAGGTAGTGTTGAGTAGCATTTTCGTCCTCTTTCAGTTTTGCCTCTTTCAGCTTACTTAAAGTCGATCTTCTAGAAAAAAAAAACATGTCCCATAAGTACCATTTTGACGTTACAATGTCTTGTTCCGGTTGTTCAGGAGCAATAGAAAGAGTTCTTGGTAAAACTGAAGGGATCTCTAATTTTGACGTTTCTTTGAAAAACCAAACTGTTGATGTCGTTACAGATAAGGATTACGAGTCGATATACAACACAATTGCAAAAACAGGCAAGAAAATAAACAGCGGGAAAGTTGTGTCTTGAACAGGGCCAAGTCGATGGATCTCCCTTCGACTTTGCTAGTCTGTTAATGTAAGAAGGGTATGACGGTAGAGATGGAGAGCAAGTGAAGTTGATACAAAAGATAGAAGTGATGAGTTGGTATACATATATGTATAAAGATATATAATAAAATGCAAAAAAAAAAAAAAAATAAGACCCCCCCCCTCCTGGTATTAGTTTCAATAAACGTTAAGTAAAAACTCATTTACGTCATACTTCTGAAATCGATGATCTCGTTCACATACCCGTCTCTCAACTCGCTAGGTAGAAACACGCTTTGAATTAACTTGGTAATTTCATTTGTGGTAAGGTCAAATAATTCGCCTTGATAGAAACGTTCCATGATATCTTTGAGGTGATTCTTTAACAAGAACTTGACATTATCCAACTTATTGAAAGATTCAATTGAGTCTCTTGTCTTGCCAAGCGATGTGACAAATGGGATTGTGATATTGTTCAAGTTTTCAATCACCAATGCTATTACACTGCATTGGTTTTCACTAATGTCATCCATAGCTATGATTGTTTGAATGAACAGGTTATTAACGAAATCAACTAGCTCACATATAAGGTATTGGAACTTGTGCAAGTTGGTGCTTTGTAGTTGTGTTTTTTCAAATAAATTTTGAAACCAGCTGTATATCAGGCTAATTTGATTCATATTATAGTCATCTAGTATCTCCTCCATTGCCAATGGTTCGTCCAGGTGTAAGTTTATGGTGGCCATAAGCAGCTTTAGTTCCAGGTATAAATTGATCATTTCTTGGTTCCATGTATGAGTAGCAAACTGCGCAAAAGAATCAATTGAAAAGTCATTGGATAGTTTTATAAAGTCATTATACATGAGGAAAGATTGCTTTGGACTTGGATATTGAACGAGAGCTAGAGCATTAATGGTGCTGGCTAAGTAGGAGACATCCTTTAGCTGCTTGCCAAATTTGTCAAATATTGGCTTGATTTTCTCGGGGACTTGTGATATTATTATAAGCTCCTGGTTAGTTGAATGACTTGCTTTGGTTTTCTGAGATACAACATTATCCTCCTCAACATCCCAACCTTCGTCCCAATTCTCATCCCAACCGTCATCATTTTCCTCCTTTGGTAACCGTAGTTTCTCCGCCTCCTCCTTCTCTTCCGCCTCCTCCTTCTCCTCCTCCTTCTTCTCCTCCTCTACTTCAATTTGAATCTGCGTTGTTTGTTTGATTGCATCTGACGTCATGGCCAGTTTTACAGCAATCACAAATTCATTAATAATCCACTGTTGGTGTAATTTATTCAATTTCTCCTCAATGTTACCTTGGCCTTCAATTTTGTTCAAAACATTCCAGTTGGTGCTTTTGCATAGTACCACCAACTGTTTCAATTGGTGAATCTTATTAGGGTCGTTAACAATTGAATCAATCAGCTTGAAAATCTTATCAGTCAAAAGCTTTTCAATCCTAGAGTCTAAATAGTGCTTGATTGAAGAATATTGTACCTTGTTTATGAACCGTATGAAATTGGTTAAGCTCTCAATAAAGTTGTTACCCTTTTGCAAACTAATTACAAACTCGGCATCTTCAGCAGCAGCAGCAGCAGCAGCAGCATCATCATTATTGTTTGTGTTATTTTCATTGATAATCACCACCTCTACATCATCTTGGAATATGCGATCAACGAGTTCATCCCATTGCGCCCGATATATATCATACGTATTCAATACGTAATCATTTTCCAATACAAAAGAATTAAGCTTATTCAAAGTTGAGAAGTTGCGAATAGTGAATTGATCAGGTACGAGTAGTAGCAAAAAATCATCTAACAAGTCCAAAAATTGCCGATAAAGCTTGGCCACCTTCTTGGTTATTTGTCTACAAATCAAGTAATTTGAGTTCAACCTGCTCTTTACCTCCTTGAATAGTTTGCTGACGTGTTCAAAATCAGGCAAGGAACCTATATTGACCAGGTAACTGGTAATGATCGACTCAATCTCAGTAAGAAGTTGAGTGATTTCTTGAAACTTTTGTAGCTCGCTAATTTCGTTCTCTATTGTTTGACTCTTGCGGCTTAATTGAGCTAGTGATAATTTGTCAAGGGTTTCATTTGTTAAAGTATTTCCTTGATGTTTAAACTGATCCTGCGATGCAAGTAGTTTCAAGAGATAATTTTCCGTGATTTTCTGCTTGAGTGTATTGAGATACTCATCTATATCTTTTAAATTCGCCTTTTGGCTGTCGATCTTGCTCTCTATACTTGTCATTTGGTCTATAAAAAGGGCTCCTCTGATAGATACATTTATATATATAGAAAGAGAGAGATATGATGGGTTGAAAAATTTCTTTAACCGTTTTGGAACAAGCCGCACCAACAGTGACACTATCGAGCGAAGCGAAATAGTGTTGTAACAAGCTACTGAGTGTTGCTCTACTGACTACATGGACACTATTGATTTGGTAATAGGAGAAGTCACCTTTTATTGAGTAAATACTATACACTGTTTCATATCTGCCCCCTCTTTTTACACGCAACACTATCGAGCAGAGCGAGATAGTAGAGCACACTAACTCTTAACACTATCAACCGATACTATCGAGCAGAGCGTCAGTGGCAGCTAGTATCGATACCGTCAGTGGTAGCTAGTGTTGATAGCGTCAGTGGTAGCTAGTATCAATAGCGTCAGTGGCAGCTAGTATCAATAGCGTCAGTGGCAGCTAGTATCAATAGCGTCAGTGGCAGCTAGTATCAATAGCGTCAGTGGCAGCTAGTATCAATAGCGTCAGTGGCAGCTAGTATCAATAGCGTCAGTGGCAGCTAGTATGTTCCACTATCTCGCTCCGCTTGATAGTGTTGATAGTGTCAGTTGCAGCTAGTATGTTCGCTCCGCTCGATAGTGTTGATAGTGTCAGTGGCAGCTAGTATGCTCCACTATCTCGCTGCGCTCGATAGTGTCGATAGTGTTGATAGTGCAGCAATCATATTAAATCCTCGGTAATATCATCATCAAGATACTCGTCGTCTTTATTCATTCTATAAATAGTCATTGCCATACTAGCAAAGTTCAACCCCGACATTATCCAATCGGGCAAGACTAATCCATATAATTCAATTGCGTTAAAAGTCAAGTCCAAAAAGTTACCAACCAACTCAATCACGAGCATCATCTTGTCAAACTTCAAATCGCGTAATACCTTGTCATATTTCTTGTTGATGTCTTGATTGATAATTGATTTCGAAACACTTTTAGAATTAAGTATCTCCTTCTCAATGTTTACTTTCCTTATTTTGCGTATTACATTGAGTAGTTGTGAAATTGTTTTGCGGATAAGGAAAATAAGAATCAATACCCATAGTTTATTTGTTTGTTTCAACAACTTGGTAAGAAACTGAGGGAACATTGGTAAATTGGAAAGTAAATGTAGGTTATCTAATAAATTGGCTATGTTTTCCAAAACATTGACTGCCATGTTTTCTACTTGTCTAAATGTGAATTTTCGCGGTTTATAGTATTTTATGGATTTTTTGTCCTTGTTGGTGCTTGGTGAACCTGCCTTGCGCGGTGGTGGTGATGGTAACGGTGGCGATGGTTGTTTCTTTAATGCTCGCAGAAGGTCAAACTTGTCGAATAATGGAGGATACTTTGGCTTCGGATGTGGTTGGGACCTAACTTGTCCTGGCAAATCTGGAACTCTTTGATACTTGTTATACTTGGATTCAAACTGGGACTCAATATTCTTCTTTCCCTGCAACTTTGTCTCAATATTCTGCCTTCCCTGTAACTTTGTCTCAATATTCTGCCTTCCCTGTAACTTTGTCTCAATATTCTTCTTTTTCTTACCGGCACTTTTCTCTTCCAAGACGCTCTGTAGCTTATTCAACTTATCAGCAGTAATAGATGAGTTACCTTTAAGATGTTCTTGCCTGGCTAAATTTAGCAAATTATCAATAATTTCTTGCCTTGTAAGATGATTAGAAACCACAGATTCCTTCAAAGTGGATCTGGCAGTACCTATTGAACTTGACTTGTACTCTGTAGCTGGAGTTGTAGCTGTATCTATACCTCTAGCTGTCTCCATTACATGCAAAATAATTAAACCTAAAGAGGAAAAAATAAATTAAATTAAAATGAAAAATTTCAAAGTGGAAAAGCCTTTGGTGAGGAAATGTTTTTTGATGGATTTCAAGGATTCGTCAAGATAGAGCTTGATTGTAGGTGAGATGGTGTGGAGGAGAAGAAGTGGGTGCAAATAATGAATTTGGTAAACGAGTTTTATATAGAGTTGAACTTATCTATTTGAGTCCATCAAATTATGGAGAAGGTATTATTAATATATGTAGACAGTTATTACCACCCCGCCAGTTCAAGACACTATCGAGCGAAGCGAAATAGTGGAGCACATTAGCAACTCTCTCCTCAAGTTCTATATATGGTATGTTGTATCTGAGTCCATCAAATTATGAAGAAGGGTATATTCATATATGTAGATAGTTGAACCCCCCCCCGTCAGTTATCAACGCCTTGTTGGGGGGATTTAGTTTTATTTGGTTCTTGGAAGGACATTTACATTCGTAAGAGAGCCTGGTTAGCTCAATCGGCTAGAGCGTGAGACTTTTAATCTCAAGGCTGCGGGTTCGAGTCCCGCATCGGGCTTTTTTTTGCACCTCAGAAAAAGAAAAGGAAAGTAGACAAGTAGAGAACTGCCTCAGAGTTAGTCAGTGTGCTCCACTATCTCGCTCTGCTCGATAGTGAGGTTTAATTATTCTTTTCATTTATTCATCTTCTCTGTTTTCTTTCTCACTCTGCTTGATAGTGGATCTTTTTTCGCAGCTCAAAACTCTCAAATTTTGCAAGAAATTTAATAAAACATTAGACCACTATCGAGCAGAGCGAGATAGTGGAGCACACTGATTAACTCTGAGATAAATTGTCTGGAAGTGTACAGGTGTACAAGTGTGTGTACAAATGCATTTACAGCATGTCAACTTACAGACATTTCATATATATATTCATTTAAGGAAGTTGTATCTATTCAGTTAATGAAGTAGGTTGAAGCAGTCCACTGTCGAGCAGAGCGAGATAGTGGAGCACACTGACTAACTCTGAGATATATTGTCTGGGAGATTAATTATCTGGGTGATAAAGAGTCTGGGTGATAAAGAGTCTGGGAGATAAAGTGTCTGGGAGATAAAGAGTCTGGGAGATAAATTGTCTGGGTGATAAAGAGTCTGGGAGATAAAGTGTCTGGGAGAAAAGTTGAGGGTCCCGGAGATAAAAAAACATTTTAATTACAAAAATTTATCTACTGTTCTGCTAGTGCTCACTAAATTTGGTACAACATTCTCATATGTGTTCCAAGTGATGAAAGATTTAGTAATAGACTTGTAACCAATAGAGATAGATAGAAGTTTATAGATGGAGATTTATTAGAAGATATAGGTGGAAGTTTATAGATTGAGATTTATTAGAAAAAATGATAGTTGGCGGTTAGTATTTGGTGGATGCATCACAAGCTCGCTTTGCTCGCTAGACATCGACACTATCGAGCACTGGCTAGTGATACTATCGACACTAGAAATTGGAGGAGAGTAGAGGGGGAGAGTAGAGGAGACCATCTAGTAGAGATTAAAGTAGAGTAGAGGAGGAGACCAGTAAAGTTGAGCAGATTATAGTAGAATGGAGTAGAGACCATCTAGTAGAGATTGAAGTAAAGTAGAGGAAGAGAGTAGAGCAGACTATAATAGACTATGGATCAGAGTAGAGTGGATTATAGTAAATTATAGTAGAATAGAGTAGAAACCAGTGAAAGAGAGTAGTGGAGTAGAATTTAGTAGAGACCAGCAGGTAATAGAAGGTAGTTAGAAGAGACCAGCAGATAATAGTAAAAGGTAGTTAGAAGAGACCAGCAGATACTAGTAAAAGGTAGTTAGAAGAGACCAGCAGGTAATAGAAGGTAGTTAGAAGAGACCAGCAGATAATAGTAAAAGGTAGTTAGTGCTGCTCCACTATCTCGCTTTGCTCGATAGTGGAGATAGTGTTGATAGTGGAGATACCCCGGAAATATCCGCAATTCAACCTGGTAGCATTACTCATCGATCCAATAAGGTTTATATATTAAGGTTTATTAAAGAATGCACCACATACTCTGCTCGATAGTGTCGATATTCAGTGCTGCTCCACCTCGCTCTGCTCGATAGTGTCGGTAGTCAGTACTGCTCCACTATCTTATTCGATAGTAGAGTAACCCAATAGCATTACTCACCAATCCAATAACGTTTTTTTTTTTTTTTTTTTTTTAAAAATTAATCCGGAGTTTCATTTTGGAAAGTTATAAAGGCAAGGAAGAAAAAAAAATATATACATATATATACATATATATATATATATCAACTCTTTTACATAGTTGATAGGTGATTTGCCCCATAGGTGAGTATAGGTGAGTATAGATCTTTTCCAGATAGGCTATTTAGGTTGTTATGTTGAGATTATTGAAGCCAGTGTCAGCGACACAGAGATTTACTCAGCAATTTGTGAGGTTTGCTTCTAGCAAGAAGAAATATGACGTTGTTGTTATTGGAGGCGGTCCTGGTGGATACGTTGCTGCAATCAAAGCTGCACAATTAGGCTTGGAAACTGCTTGCATTGAAAAAAGAGGCGCATTGGGTGGTACCTGCTTGAATGTCGGTTGTATTCCTTCAAAATCGCTTTTGAACAATACTCATTTGTTGCATCAGGTGCAGCATGAAGCAAAAGAACGAGGTATTTCCATAAATGGCGAAGTTACTCCAAATTTCCCAAACTTGATGAAAGCTAAGGAAAAGTCAGTTAAACAATTGACTAGCGGTGTTGAAATGTTGTTCAAAAAGAACAAGGTGGACTATTTGAAAGGTACCGGATCTTTTGTTGATGAAAAAACCGTGAAAATCGAACCAATCGAACAAGGCAAAGAGCCATTTGAAGTGGATGCCGAAAACTTTATCGTTGCTACAGGTTCAGAACCAACACCATTCCCAGGAATCGAAGTCGACGAGGAGAGAATTGTTACTTCTACAGGTATCTTGCAATTGAAGGAAATCCCTAAAAGATTAGCTATTATTGGTGGTGGTATCATTGGTTTGGAAATGGCCTCGGTTTACTCAAGATTGGGATCAAAGGTTACTGTGCTAGAATTCCAAAATGCTATTGGTGCCGGTATGGATGGTGAAGTTGCCAAGGCTACTCAGAAGTTATTGATCAAACAAGGCTTGGACTTCAAATTGGGAACCAAAGTCACCAAAGGTGAACGAGATGGGGAAGTTGTCAAGATTGAAGTTGAAAATGCCAAGACGGGAGAAAAGAGCAATTTAGAAGCAGATGTATTACTAGTTGCCATTGGAAGAAGACCATACACCGAAGGATTAAATTTGGAGGCTGTAGGTTTAGAAAAAGATAACAAGGGCAGATTGATCATTGATGATCAGTTCAAAACCAAACATGACCACATTAGAGTCATTGGTGATGTCACTTTCGGACCAATGTTGGCACACAAGGCTGAAGAAGAAGGTATCGCCGCTGCAGAATTTATCAAAAAGGGATACGGACACGTTAACTATGCAAATATTCCATCTGTCATGTACACTCACCCAGAAGTAGCTTGGGTCGGTTTAAACGAAGAACAGTTGAAAGAAAAAGGTATCAAATATAAAGTGGGTAAATTCCCATTCATTGCTAATTCAAGAGCTAAAACTAATTTGGATACTGATGGGTTTGTAAAGATTATTGCCGATGCTGAAACCGAGCGGATTTTGGGTGCTCATATCATTGGTCCTAATGCTGGTGAAATGATTGCTGAAGCCGGATTGGCTTTAGAATATGGTGCTTCTACGGAAGATATTGCAAGAACTTGTCATGCTCACCCTACATTATCTGAAGCTTTCAAAGAAGCTGCTTTAGCTACTTTTGATAAACCAATCAACTTTTAGAAGAAGAAACAATGAAATTAGGATAGGAGATTTTGAATATACATGTAATAAAAGAATTGAAAAGAAGAAAAAAAAAAAAAAAAAAAAGGAGGAAGAAGGAAATCAAGAGGTAGATGTTGATAAAGTAAATAGAGCAATCTCTTCATAGATCAAATGGACGGATGGATTGAAACAATTTTGCCTGTTTTTCTATTTGATCAACGATATTCATAAACAAACATTTTGTCCGATAATTTCATATCCTACTCAAAACCCAATTGGTTTACTCGATCCTTTTGGCATTAGGGCCATAAATTTATAAATTTTACCCATTTGATCATAATCAACCAATCGCCTATATGCATCGTATATCTTATTCTGAGCTTCTACATCGTGACTCTTTTTTTTCAATAATTGATCAATTCTGTAACCCACACCAATATTATGTAACCAGTCGCCTTGTTGTATGGGGCCATAAATATCACAAACTTTCAGTGTGATTTTCTTCAAATTCCCAAAATCAACATCAACTGATAAATCTACTTCCCCGGGTTTAAAGAATGGCGATACAAACTGGTGCTTGTATATTCCGCGAAGTGTATTATCAGGCACATCATCAGGGGGTCCGTAATCAATAACTAAAGCAGCTCCTTGAGTATTTACCAATTGGGCCATTTTCATGATGAACAATTCTGCGTCGGAGCAAATTTCGATTCTTGACCCAACTGGAAGGTCCTTATAACGTTTGTTTAACCTTGGAATCATCGTTGATGGAGTATCTTTGGGAGATATGCTTAAATGAAATTCCGTATCCCATTGCTTGTTTTCTTTTCCGCGCTTCTGATTTGGCAAGGGTGACAAAGGGGTAGATTCGTCATTCAAATCCAGTTTCAACTGCGTATCTTGTTGTTGGACACTTGGCGTGTGTTCCACCACTAATTCTCTCCATCCTGTTTCTTCTTTTATAAATGATTTTATAGGTAACGCGTCAAAGAATTCATGAGCTATGATATAGTTGACTGAGTCGTCGCTTCTAGGTATACTTTTCTCTGTATCGACCCATATTATCTCATTACCCCATGTGGTTACGCATTTGCTAAACTCATCTTCTTCACTCTTGAATTTACTTGCATTTTCACCACAAAGAAGCTTGCATTGCTCTTCTCTCAACACAGGGGAAGCTTCAATCATGACAATTTCAATCTTTGGTTTGACTTCACTTACCGTTTGCACGAATTTATTAAAAGTATGCAAAATATCATAAATTAGAGTTCCCTTCCCCGGTCCAAATTCAATAAATCTTATCCTTTTGTCACGCAACTTTGGATCCCGTGAGGTTTGCCAGAGATTGAAATACCAAATTCCAATCATTTCCCCAAAAACGGAGGAAATTTCGGGACTTGTGATGAAATCTCCAGTTTTCAAATCTAGTGGGTCTCTAGTGGTATAATAACCATATTTAGGATGAGTTAGACATTGTCTCATATACGCACTCAACGATATCGGACCTGTTAATTTGATAGTTTGTCTAAAAAGATCACTCAAGCTTTTGACGTCAATCAGGGTAGAGCTGCCACTGCTCTTTTCTGGGAATTGGGCTAGTTTGCCCAAGTTTTCTCGTAAATTGTGATCACCCTTTATTTCACTTTCTAGCTTTTTTATCTGCTCCTTTATTACTCTTGCGGCTTCCTCATACTCGCTTTTTGTGAATCGGCCAAAATAAAGACCATTTTCATGCGGTGGTAAAGTAGAACCAGCTTGGGTTGATGGTAGGGTGGAATTCGCTTGTGTAGAACCAGCTTGGGTTGATGGTAGGGTAGAATTCGCTTGTGTAGAACCAGCTTGGGTTGATGGTAGGGTAGAATTTGCTTGTGTAGAACCAGCTTCGGTTGATGGGTCGGCCTTGGAGTCCTTTCCCAGAGACGCCTTGAAGTTTGTAGCCAATCGTCTTTTTGGAAAATACCGAGACGACAAAACACACCTTATACTTGGCTGTTTCAACATTCTTTAGGAGCAACTAGCAACAAACCTACCTAGGATAAGACAATAAAATGAAACAGCTTCAGTTAGTAATTAAGGCAATAAGCTCATCGCCTCATCGCTATCTTTCAGCGCTACCACGCAATCCACCAAGGTGTGTGTGTGTGTGGGGAGGGGGCATCGATATGGAAGATCTCTTTATGCAACAATGACTTGGAGACTAGACGAGTTAAACGAGTCTAGTCGATAGAGTATAGAGAGAATGTAGATAGATAAAAGGAGAGTGTAGATAGATAAAAGGAGAGTGTAGATAGATAAAAGGAGAGTGTAGATAGATAAAAGGAGAGTGTAGATAGATAAAAGGAGAGTGTAGATAGATAAAAGGAGAGTGTAGATAGATAAAAGGAGAGTGTAGATAGAGTGTAGATAGAGTGTAGATAGAGTGTAGAGAGAGTGTAGAGAGAGTGTAGAGAGAGTGTAGAGAGAGTGTAGAGAGAGTGTAGAGAGAGTGTAGATAGAGTGTAGATAGATAGATAGAGTAGATATATGCTATCATGCTTTGCTCAATAGTCTATAGAGAGAAAAGAGATAGATATAGACTGCCAAGCTGTGCTAGTAATTATTTCATAGACCAATCGAAAGAGAGAGACTAATCTATAGAGTGTAGATATATAGTCTAGACGAGTGAAACGAGTCTAGTCGATAGAAAACAGTAGATAGATAGAGTAGATAGAAATTAGTCAATAGAGTGCAGATAGAGTGTAGATATATAGTGTAGCTAATAGACTATCTCGCTTTGCTCGATAGTGTAGATATAAAGTGGATAGAGAAAGAGTAGATAGAGACTAGTTGAAAGAGTGTAGACAGAGAGAATGTGTATATAGAGAGAGTAGTATACAAAGAGAGTAGGTATTAATAGAGGGAATAGTATATGGAGAAGAAAAGTAGAGTAGTGTTGTTTTCTCGTTTTGCTCGATGGTATATAGAGTGGAAAGAGAATAGATATAGACTATCGAGCAGAGAGAGTAGATATAGACTATCGAGCAGAGAGAGTAGATATAGACTATCGAGCAGAGCGAGATAGTCTACGCTCGATGGTCTCTGCTCGATAGTCTATAGAGAGGAGAGAGAGCAGCCATAGACTATCTCGCTCTGCTCGATAGTCTATGCTCGATAGTCTATGCTCGATAGTCTATGCTCGATAGTCTATAGAGAGGAGAGAGAGTATATATAGACTATCTCGCTCTGCTCGATAGTCTCTGCTCGAT